TGCTAAGGTCACACTATGAGTCGGAAATGCTAGGACTTGTATACTTACGTGGATTATACTGCTATGCTAACACTTACTGTTACCTGAAATCGATGAAGCGAGTTTTCATTGGCCAACGATAACATAAACATGTCAACTGATGTCAAAACAAACGTTTGTCTGACGAAACACGGAACTATATCGTCAGGTTAACCATCTAGGTCACACGTAACGAAAACGTCGGTTATTGTATGATTTTGGTATCACTTCACCGTGCAAAAAGAATGGTGAGTGGGGACAACCGAAACTCATAAACAATCTGAATGTACTGTGAAGTAGTGTTTTTCTGTTCTTTTCAAAATCTGCAGTAACCTCTCTTATCGTGATAAACCGTGATGCCATACCTTCTATATCATCCAGTACAGCTCAACCACTAGAGATTTCTTTACCATTATCAATTTGATGATACCTGTAAACCGGCTTCTCTCATGTTAACCTCCTAATTTGGGAATGAAATGTTCATTTACTCACCATTTGTCTATTACCTCCGATACTATCCAAGGTACTGAATAGCCTAGTTGCAGACGTTTGGGTAAACCCAAACAGAAGCTACATTATTCAACCTCCCCCCGAACACAGCCTCAGGACCGGGTGGTGATATGCCACAGACTTGATGACTGCTTGAGATGAATGTTCCAATGCGCGGAACAACAGGCAAACAATCCCTGTCAACTTTCTGAACTGGGTCAAAGAGTTCGGTAACGTCTCATACCACACCGTCCTCGCCAAACTAGCAGAATTGGGCATCGCTGAGCCACATATGACATGGTTTACAACACGTGTAGGGGACAGAGTATTTACCAGTATAATAAACAGTATTCAGTCACCTCGGAGGAGTGCAAAAGACGGGGTTCCTCAGGGAGTCATTCTCGGGCTACCCCAACTTTTGCCATTCGTCACTGACCTTCCCGCTAAAATCTAGTGTATCGTCCAGTTCGCCAACGAAATCAAAACATAGAGGACAATATTCGGGAAAAAAGACTGTAGGGTACTTTAGAACGATCTGCTGCAACTGGAGTCACGGTCAGTCGACAGTTGTTTGCGTTGTACGTTGGATAAATGTAGGGTGACATACATCCACTCAGTGAAACCAATGAAGACGGGCACCACCTTTAACGAGTAAGGATTCACCGGGGTATCCGCAAAGAAGAATCTAAGACCAAAGTTTTGTAGCACACTGGATACTGGTTTCAACTTTAAGGGGGTGGCGGCAGGGGTAAACGCCATCATGCACTTTCTGGGAAGGCTGCTTGGGACGCTAACTTCCGAATTGTACCTCACTGTATCGAAAACCTATGTTAGACCGCGCTTAGGAGTGTTCAGTACGATAGTTCCCCCTCCGCTAAAAAGAAAGGTGGGTACTTTAGAGATGGTGCAGAAGAGGGCAACAAGGTCAGCTGTCCAATCAATGGGCGAAACATATGCGCAGCCTCTTAGGCAAATTAACTTTTTTGCGCTAGGCTGTCAGCGGAAAAGGGGTGACCTAATATCAACCTGTAGGATCATCCACAGATCAACGTTATCGGTCAAAAACAGACAGTCTTCCGGGAGCCTGAGCTTATGGCGTAGACGAAGGTAAGTGCGTTCCTTGTGAAACGTGCAGAAGGAAGCAACAACAGCTATATCAGTTGACTCCTGTGAACGACTGTGAGATAAGCACTTGAGTGCCGACAGCTGAAAACAACTATATCTCGGTATCTATTTGGGGTATGCTTATCCGTCTTACAAAAGCTATTCATTTATCCCTCATTCTCTAGTGACCTTACTATCGTCACTACATTTCAAATAATGCATGATGCCTACTCATATGTCGATAAAGACATAGGTGGGTAAATGGAAAGACTCCTGAGTGCACTGATGCAGTGAAACTAAACTTTAAGAACCAAGCCTCGAGACCTAGAAGTGAGAGCACAACAACTACGAGTTTTCTCTGCTCCCACTATTGATTTTGGTTGTTGGGTATGAGTATATCCTCCGAGACGGAAGGAGGACGCATCAGATCCTTCAGTCAGAAGCTGAAGGATGCAATTAAGACTGCTGGCCTCTCAGAGAAAGTGGGTGATGCTACACGCTGGGGACCTAACGGAAACGCATCGCGCCTTGACTACGTTCTGACGAACGATGAACTTCTCATTGAGGATGTTTGCATCCAACCTCCCCTTGGCCTCAGTGACCACGCTGTAATCACCTTCTCCATGATAACTAGGGAGGCTCTGCAACTGGAGACGCCCAACACCTTCCCTTGCTACAGCAAGGCCAACTATGAGACCATGAGGGACTACCTCATGAATGCATCATGGCCAGTGGACTGGACTCATCTCACAATAGATGAACACTGGTTGGAGGTGAAGAAAATAATCACTGGGGCCATCAGTCACAGTGTACCAGAAGTAACACACAGACAATCAATGAGAACCTCATGGTTAAAGCGTGGGACAGAGAGGCTTATCCGGAGCAAGAAGCAGGCTTGGTTCAAGTGGCTTACATCACGCAGGGAGTCTGACTTCTTGAACTACAAAAGGATTCGCAATCTCTGTAACATTAGAGTGCGTAACGACAGATTTTCCTACCAAACAAACTTGGCAGCGAGGTTACAAAGCAACCCCAAAAACCTGTACCGCTTCATGTCAAGAAGAAAGTCGACCAGTAAGGGAGTGAATCTTGTCACAGGCCATGACGGGAGTGTGCTAAGCAGTCTAGAGATTGCCGAGCTTTTGAGCTCACACTTCCAAGCCCAACTCAGCACTGACACAAGATCCACACCGACTCGCCACGACACCGACCAGGTCGCAAATAACGAATACCTCTGTCACGTCTCTATTACAGAGAAAAAGGTGTTCGAGAAGCTATCTAGGCTACGTCCGGGCAAGTCCCCTGGCTGCGATAACCTGAAACCAGTGGTTCTGAAAAACTGCGCCGAGGTGCTTACCAAACCACTTCGCAACCTCTTTGAGCACTCAATAGACTCGTGCAAACTCCCTAAAGAATGGAAGAGTGCCATCTTGTCACCCATCTTCAAGGGAGGAGACAGAAAAAGCCCTGGCAGCTACAGGCCGATTGCCCTACTCCCTATTGTGTCGAAAGTGTTGGAAAGCCTGGTAGCTGACACCATCTGGGAATTCCTCAATAGGAAAACACTGTCCACACTGCTCAGCACGGCTTTCGTAGTGGTCGCTCATGTGCCACCAACTTACTAACTGCCTGGGACGACTGGACACAAAGCTGGGATAATAGAAAACCTGTACATGTTGTATTTCTCGACCTAGCCAAAGCATTTGACAGTGTCCCACCCACAGTACTGCTTCACAAGATCATGTCAGCTGGTATAAGTGGACCCCTACTCTCTTGGTTCAAGGAGTACCTGGAAGGGAGGCAGTTCTGCACTAAAGTGAACAGAATAAGGTCGGAGTGGAGACCCTCGACGTCAGGAGTATCCCAAGGAGCAATCCTAGGACCGCTTCTGTTCCTCCTGTTTGTCAACGATCTGCCAGACAAAATATCCTCACCCATCCTCCTCTTCGCTGACGACATAAAAATTTGGAGGGTGGTAAACGAAGAAGCCGATTGTGCAGCACTACAAAAGGACTTGCAGCAACTCGAGCTCTGGTCGTCGGAAAATGGCCTGAGCTTCAACCTGGAAAAGTGCAAAGTAATGCACATCAGTAAAAATGAGGCAAGTACGACCGACTTCCAGTACATGTTGAGCAACCGTGCTATCACCAGAGTGTCCATGGAGAAAGATTTGGGGCTCAACTTCTCCGACACCTTGGACACCAGCTCCAACTACAAAGGTATGACAACCAGAGCGAACGCCATTCTACACTTTCTGCGTAGACAGCTTGGCGCCCTCACTCCCGAACTCTTCCTCACCATTTTCAAATCCTACGTGCGGCCGCACCTAGAGGTCTTCAATACGGTGGCTCCTCCAACACTCAAGAGAGACTCTAATCTCCTTGAAAGAATACAAAGAACTGCAACAAAATCAGTTGTGGGGCTAAGGGGAAAGACGTATCCTGAAAGACTTAAACACCTCAACCTATTTACCTTGGGTTATCGCAGGAAAAGGGGTGACCTCATTATGGCATACAAGATCGCCCATCAGGCAGACCATGCAAACAAATCAATTTTGCCTGCAACTGAACGATCTTCACGAGGAAACCCCATTAAGATAGCACACCAGAGAGCCAACACCACACTCAGGTCCAAATTTTTCTCCCTAAGAGTATGTGCTTTATGGAATGCCTTACCGCGACACATCGTTATAGCTCCTTCAATCGACTCTTTCAAGAGGCGATTAGACAGTTATGTCACCTCGCATGGACTACCACGGACGTACTCAGGTAGTCACCAACCTCAGTACCCCCAACTCCCTCCTAACTACCACTCACTATCTCTCTCCTTAATACACCCACATTACCTACTAATTCTTCTGTAGGAACCAAACCCACGCGACCATTCGGGCAATTCCCAAATACTTTTCTTTCGTTCTCTTTTCACCCCTCCTTTTCTTCTCCTTCCCTTTTCTCTTCCCTTTATTATTATTATATTATTATCTTTTTCTTTTTTTCTCTTCTTTATTCTCTCTTCATTCCTTTACCACTACCTTACTATTCTCTTTCAGGTACCTACACAGACAGGAGTCACGGCAGTTCTCTAAACTTCCCAGCAACCCGTAGCTCCCTAATCACTCTACAAATTACAACCTACTAACCCACAAAACATCCACCTCACCGAAGCTAAAAGCAAGAAAGCAGAGGGGATTTCCTCGTCCACTGCAGGAGTAAACCGAACAACTCGAACCAAGCCCTAAGAACTAGACGCGAGAGATCAAAAACTACCAGTTTTCTACGCTCGCACTATTAATATTGGAATATCCTGTGTAGTTGAATAGGCGTAGGCTCACGTTCTTCTCTTTCTTTCTACTCCTTCAGATTTTCATGATTATCCCTAAACTCACACTCCTCTACGCGCTGCCAACAACAACAGCTGGTAGTTACACTTTGAGTTGTGCATAAAACCCGGGGGAATTGGTCTCTAGGTCAGTGGTTGAGAATGTTTTTATAGTTATCTTTACAGCTATACAATTCTCCAATTAGACTCTTACGTTTAATTGCATGAGTGATCTTTATGTAGAAATAATAAAACTTTATTGGCAGTTATTGTCATTGTTGGTGAAAACTTCAAGGAGAGGTTAGACAGTCATGCAGAGACTTACGGTCTACCCACATATAGCTGGAACACGAAGTGACGTCAAGACACCCCAACCAGTTTTATTCCTATTGTAACTAAGTTAGCCTTTTTCGTCCTTTCTACTTGCCATAAGTTAGCCTCACTTACCTAAGTTCTCCATACCTTTGCACCCCTACTCACATTACTTGGGTGTAAGTAGATTACTCCACTAGTTCACTTTTCTTCCCCTCTTTTACTCACATAAACACTTTCTAGGTTTTCTCTTCCCTATCCCAAACCCTCCCTAGCGACCAGTCCCAACAACTTTCTAGCAACTCGACATCTGAAGAAGCCAACTGCCCCACAGTCCAAGACAAGCAAACCAACACTTAACTTCCTGTTCTGTAAATCAGAACTATAGCAGACGAATGGCTGGATCTACTGCATCGGAATCCGCCAAAGATCTGGAACCTTCAGGCAAGACCAAGAAGCGAGCGAAAAGAAATCAACTGGTTTACACACAAGCTCGTTAAAAAGATTTTGGATTTGTTTCAGATCCAGATTTGTTGTTTGGGGATAGAAGGCTCTGGGCTTAAATTAATTCCTTTCCAGCAGATCTCTTTGCTTCTCCGATCTTTTTTTAACGGCCCGATTGATGCGCTGGCTTCATTGAAGCTAAACAGTTTGAATATTTTGGGTTCAACCAAACTCTAATGGCAGTCAGTCTCGTTTCATTGTTCGTAAAAAAAAAGTGCCTGGAAAGAAGAAAAGGGGTTAACTATGCATCCAGATATGGAATTAGTACAAGATAAAAGTAATATGCCTTCTGTCTAGGTGCATTCAACCTAATGGACAAACAGCAGCTAGTTTGCCTTGTTCTTCACAACCAAGTACCTCATTCTGAGTTGTGATTTAGTGTGGGGTATTCGTATATAGTTCTGAGTCATAATCTTTATATACTTCACCCTTATCCAGAGTAAAGTAGCATCCTTAGAAATTATGTAACTGGTGAGTTATCCTATATATATGCATTTATGTAGTACGTAATGCTAAAAATTCGCCAGTTATGGGACTGTGAAGTCTAAACGGAGGGCCTTAAAGTGGCTAATCACATTGAAGGTAACTGTGCTGATATTCTGGGGAGCTTTGGATTATTGAAAGGATATCGCTGATTACGGCTAAGCTTATACATAATTTCGATTATAATAGTGTCGACTGGATGAAAGCTAGTTATATCCCATATCTTCGTCTCGCACTATTTTATGATTTTGAGAGGTTTCTCATGTACCGGCATTTCCCATGAATGACAAAGTTCAATACAAGAAGTCCACACGAGTTCAGTGTACGATCTGGTTGCACACCCTAAAAAAATAATCAGCGCTCTTATTTTAACCCCACTCTTAATTGAATTCATAGTACCCATTAAATCACCAAGCAGCAAAAAGCAGCGCGTAGGTAATCTTTTCAGTGTCAGTGCTGGGAGGAGAATCTACTTGCTACTTGTTTGACACTGTATAACTTGAGTTCCAAGTCCTGCAGTGTAAAATGAAACTAGTATCCATCTCTATGAATGTAATTTCTTATGAACTTCTCGAACTGCATTTAGACCCTTTTTCAAGGGCTTATGCAAATCAATTTAGAGGCGATAGAGAACCTCTTGAAGGCTTACTTGTATCCATGTTGCTATTCAGGTTTTCCATTTTCACGTAGTTGTATGCGTGTACTTTTACTTTAAGCAGATCAAGGCAGTCGAAACTGTCGTTAGAAAACCTTGACTACTACGAGTTTCTTTTCATATGTGTATTTAAAAACAGAAGAAAACGACTGTCTTTTTATTGATTTGCTCAGGGGTGGCAAAATTACATGGTTCTATCCCGTGGGCATAATACTTCAGTGGTCCGACAGTTTATCACGCCCAGGAATTGCAAGAATGAGGAAATTGTCCAACACCTTTTCGCAAAAGAGCTATGATGAATTGAAGTTTTTACTGATAAACGGATGTTACTGTTTCGTTTATAACACGCTCTTTCGTGGTCATAAGCCTTACTTGTCTTTCATAAAGTTTCCTATCACTAAGGTTTTGTTGAATCGAATAAAAAAATCACATATTTCTGAAAGGCAGAAGTTCTCTTGAGTGCTATAACACTTTTCAGATTTATTTCAGGCGTATTTTTCCTTAAGGATACAGGGTATTCTGTTGGTAACTCAATATTTGTATGTTGTTTTGACGGTTGCGATAATAAACTGCGAATTATTTTCGGATTCTAATGCCATTTAGATTTACTTTCATTACTTTAAGAGGGACATTGTTACTTGTTAATAGTAGGAGATTGACTTCAATCTGTTCCATATTCGTTCTAAATATACTTTATGAATTTTTGATTCTTGTATTGTTGGTTGACCCTTTAGATTATTAGGTCATTCCTATTTTCTTATTTTACTCGTCTTTTTACACCCATTGTTTTCACGAGGATCATGTAGATTACTCTAGTACTTCGACTTAGTTTAAATTGTGAGGGATTCAGCGATAATAGGTTTTTAGTTCGCAAATCCTCTTGATAACTAAGGGCCCGAAATGCTTACTTCGCTGTGAAAGAAAATATAAGTATTTATCATAAATTTTGATTTTGTATCTATTAGAAGTAGAATGGTCAATCAATATTGTTTTCCATTGACTCTTTCTAAGGATCCGTAATGTATTCGCGTGATAAATTAACCACCTCAGTTACTTAAGAAGTTTCATCAGCTCTAATTTGATGGTCTCAAACTGGTAAAGGTTTTAACTAACAAGATAACCTATTAATGATGGATCGTGGCTAGCATTGGAATCCAGGATGAGCGTTTCGTCCTATTTGAGACTCTTCAGCTGGATGTGGTTGCTCCCTAGCGAGTGATGTTGTTCCCACCGGGATTCCGACTCGGGAGCGATCGCTTCAAACGCCAGGGCGTTATCCACTACACCACCACCACGACAGCCACTTCTTGTGCAACGGGTATAGTTTTGGTATAATCTCTTTTATGTCATATCGTCGTTGATTGAATCGAATTGATCGGTCTCTATTGACATCCAGCTGACGAGTCCCAAATAGGATGAAATGTGTATCTTGGGTTCCACTGCTAGCCACGATCCATCATTAATATGATAAAAACATAGGTGATTTCAAGGCATCTGCACAGGAGCCCATATGTCAATAGAGACCGACTTATTCGGTCCAATCAACGACGGTATGATATAAAAACAATTATACTAATAAGATAACCATTTGCACAGTTTAGGGAAGTTCGAACAGTATCACATTCCTCATATAAATTATAGGGAAACATTTAACAGGAAGTTTGTGAAGGTCATACTTAATCCTCATGAGGGCAACCGAGTTCAATGGATTACGAGTTTTTTATTGCTTTTCAGGTCATCGTCGCTATTTGCTTTAAATATGGTGCGTAATGTTTTGCTGTAATTTCCAAATTTGTTTTTGTTTCAGTCAGTATTAAAGTGACCTGAAGTTACCGCTCAACGGTCCATGTTGTCGCACATTCAGCATCAAGATACAAGACAGCAAAATAAAGTTGAAGAAATAGTATCAGAAATTTTCGAAAGTTAGGAAGAGAAAAAGGGGTCAGGGAAATAACGAAAGGTGAAATAATGATTAAGATACAGATTATGTATAGATTTATCAGCACCACTGCAATAAATTCTAAACCTTGTCACTTCCAGTTTCTATCGATTAGTTTCAGTTTTACGCGGACCCCGAACGTAAAGACCTACAGTCAAAGAAATCGAGAACTGATACTACGTCTTGATCTGGCTGTCTTTTAATGCTTTACGGCCAAAACCTATTTCACCTAGCATCATAAAACAAGCTCGATAGTAACTAAGCTTGTCTGATACGTGATCCAGTCACCTAGGTAGATCCTTGTTCTATTCACTTGCTAGTTACTAACTGAAACTTTTTGAGACAACCGGAAAAGGGAAAAATAAGGGCGGAAATCCCCAGTATTTCTGAAAAGCAGATTGAGATTCTCACTTGTTTGTGCTGTTTCGAGTCACTAAATAGTTGCTACCATAAAGCTTTATTTCAGTGAGATATCTACACCACTCTGGAACCATGTATAACGTTCGGATTGACTGCCTTAAACTTTCTCATCGCGATGTATATTGAACACCAGATATGTCTAGCTAAGACTGGAAAGCCTCGCTGTCGATTTATGCTGCACCTTAAATACCCGTAAACAATACGCCAATGAAGGGCTTCCTAACAAATTTTCATCCGTAAGCTCAAAACGTGTTTACTGTGTGCTTGTCTATCTGTCTACTTTTCTCGGTAACACATGGCACTAGCCACTCCCACTGTGTTAGTGTTGCACTAAATTTTAAAACCGCAGTTTTACTGGTTGAGTGGATTACCATTAACGGTCCTTTGTGTGCTGCTGGTTTAGAAGGTCCAATTAAATTGAGGTAAATAATGAGGGATGTAGCATATCTTCGTCACACCTTTATTACAATGCATTACAGCCTGGATGCAGTTGAAGATGTGTTTTATCGTCAATTGAGTGACTGACAAATCACACTCAACAACACCAACAGAAGTTGGTGCTATCTGGTGTTCTTTTTCCACTGAAGTCTGGTTTCACTTAGATCGCATCATAATAAGCTCCCTATAACGTAGATTTAATCAGGACTACCAACTATTGTGGAGCACTTATTTAAACTCTAATTGCATTTCAGTGTGTGATAATGTAATTTTGCGTTTCGTTGATCATCGAAACTGTCGTTCTATCCAGATCTATGTAAGCATATTGCTTCCGATCAGCATTTAAATTCAATACCCCATGGAGTTAAATTTTAGGCTACCTGTCGAACTTCTATAAATTATCGATGAGCGTTGGCTACACCTACAAGATGTCGGGAAAATGATGAGTAAAGCTTCTTATCTTCTAGAGAATGTCGCACTATTAAATTCTGGATCCCTTTGAGCTCGTTATAGCTTCTTAAAACTCGTTTTTGTTACCCGGTAGAGAATGAATACAATAGTGTGCGTATGTCATTTATGTAACATCATGTCGTGGCTACGTAAGAACCACGAGGTCCAGTTGTCAATGTCCGAGCAAGATGGTAGCAGCAGTTGCATCTGGCGATAACCCGAAGTTGCTCCAGCCTGACCGTGGTATTGAAAACTAAAAGCTATGTCAGTGAGAGGGTCTGTAAAGCAGATAGTTCACTGATCAGAAAACTTCGCAGATACGCGGAACGTTGGATGAAGCATTTGAAAGCACTGTGCTACTAGCGTAATTATCCTGTGATACTGACTTAAGTGTCTTGTGATCCATGACTGATTAAATTTAACCCATATCATGGAGCATGGATGCAGAACGAACTTCTAGGATCAAGCACCACTAGATACCCGGTACCAAACATCCACTTGTCATTTCAACGGATTAAGGTGAGACTTAGTCAAGGAACGGACTATATTGCTTGAAACGGCATGTCAGAGTAAACGTCTTCCATCATTCTGGAATAAAATAATCTCTTCCGTTTTTAAAAGCTTGTCTAAAATGTCAGGAATTATCGGGATATCAGTCCAAACTACTGTCTCCTGTCATGCATCGTATACTTTATGTGGAAAATTGATTCACAAAAGGCTGGCCGGTTTTTGTTCAGGTCATGGACTCATGTTCACCGTCCGCCAGCTTCCTAAACACTTTACGCATAATGAAGGCGAGTAACTTTTTGTATTGTTTAGCGTTGAGGCTATCTTTAATTCATTGTATAAGACTGCTCTAACGAAACCCCCTGTCAGACGGAAGGTGTTTCTGATTAATTTGTTGACATGTTGAAAGCGTTATGAGAAAGCACCTGAAGCAGAGCGAGAGTATACAATCCTCTCTGCCCATTGTTTGTCACTAGCGACAGATTAGTCTGATTTTGCCTTCACTCTTCAACGTTGCCATGAGTGAGGCTGTTGAGCCACCTGTGGAAGGTGTGTAGTGATGGTATTAACGTTGATTTTCTACGAGGTGAAAGACGACTTGGTGTATGCAGGTGGTGTCGCCTTACCATGCAGCAACATGCAGGCTATTCAAATTGCTGTTCAACGGTTGGCTGAGAGTAGCCTTAATTATGGCATCTGTTTTGCATCACCAAAATGCTGATATAAAATTGAAAGAAGCCTTTACTTACATTTGCTGTTGGTGGGACTCTGTTGAAACTTTTCAGAAAATTCATATTGTAAGATGTGTTTGCATGAGTGAGTTGTAGTGGTATGGCTGATGAGATTTCGAATCGCATATTGAAATCCAGAATGACTTGTGTCTGATTGTATACACAGCGTGTTGGTGAGAACAGCTTCTCTCTGCTCGTGTGACATTTGAACTCTTCGATTTGTGATTTTCCTACGACTGTATGTTTCCGTAAAATTACTGGTATCCGGTGGAATCACCTTGTGAGTAATTCTGAGTTTCAGCAGCGTGTGTTTTAACATGATGATGGTTGTCATCTGTGGAGTGAGATGCCGGCTTTGGTTGCTTGGACATATGTTACGGATATTTTCCAATGAATTTTCATATGGTTCACTTTATCAGTACACAGGAACTAGATGAAAAAAGGGAAGAGCTGTTTATTGCGTGATGAGCGGTCGTAAATTGTAGGATAGTCATGCTCCGTTAGCACTTTTAAGTGCCTAACGATCCCCTGGATGGGGTTCAAGTGGTCATGTAATTGACTGGCTTACCGTGATATCAAATGTGACTCAGAATCGAGACCATTGACAATCATGCAGAGAATTATGAAAAGTAGTGAAAGGATTGCTGGTTACATGCTGGGAAGTACTTCTTTACTAACCTGTTTCTAGTTTTTGTTCTCTTTGTCATCCCTACTCTCTGTATTGCCCCAATGTTTAGGTAATGTTCCATTATTTTGTATGCCACGTTTGTTGGTGCTTAAATTGTATCAAAGTTATGTTTCAAATAAAGGATTTAGACACTGCTGACATTTTCATGTAGTATTTGCTAAGGTAATCATGTCACAAAAGCATAAGTGTCGATAGAACCATGGATGAGTTCTTCACTTTACAGAAAAACAAGTTAACGAAGAACTACCAAAAGTGAAGTAGTACACCTTACCACACTTTAACAGTAGAAAAGGGAAATGGGCAACTCACTATTAGTTTTTTAAAGCATTGACGGGTCAATTCTTTCTCCAGCACTGCATTTGTAGTGTCCTTAGCTTGTGGGGAAGTCACCATGTGGGAGTTTGTAAGTTAGGTGTAGGGTAGTAGGTGAAGGGTTTATGTATGCGTGTTGGTTGGTTTTCATCTACCATCAGCAACTTACGCTTTTCAACATGCGTTCCTCCTGCCTTTTCAATATTTTTTGCGATATCCCTTTAGTGTTAGAAAAGAATTGGCTTGAGGAAATACACAAAATGACCGGACTTATATGACATTGGTTCACAAGATCGTTAGTATGAGCTATTCAGTGGCGTGCAGACTTTTCGGTTCAAGTCCACGAAGTTAGTCAGATTAGAAACAGTTGTTGATATGGCTTGGATTCAGTCGCTACGGTGTAAATGTTCCCTTATATTATCTTCTAGTTATTATACACCTTTCATTCCCTTTTTCTCTTTATTGAGAGATACGATTATTACCTTGAAAATCTGCTGATACCAATTTCAGCGGTAGGATTAACTTGTACGTATTAGTTCCTTGAAACCGCATCAACGTTACTAAAAATCGATTTACAATTAATCCTTTGTCTAAATATTCTGATTATTTTAAATCAGCTATTGAAACTTTCCTTCTATCAACACCATAAGGTTCCCTATAAATATAATGTATTTTTAGTCTGTAGCTGATTGTCTCTCGGTTGACAAACTGGTTAGTTCTTATCATCTTGTGTCTTTAATATTAATCGTGTCGTATAAGACAGGGAATCACTTGGTGTTATCGAGAACTGAGTTAAATCAGAATAGTCAAAGTTCATAACACTAATATTCCTTGACTACTGATGTCATTTCTTTATTCCCCCATTACTGATTATTCCTGATTAATATAATATGATGTCTGATGTCTTGAAACGATGGGTAATCTTGTTGGGTTTTATGCTGTCGATGTCTATCTGCTTATACTTCCGAACTATTCATTCGCTTGTCCGAATAATCTGTTTCCTACCTATGTGTTTCTCTATGCTGTTAGCTGTGGAAATAGATGGTTTCACTAGATACTCCTCTCCCTACATTTGAAGAACTCACAGTTCCAGAGCTGAAGGTGTCAGCTTGTCCACTATTGGCGGCAGGCATTCATTTGGGGAAGTTCTGTGATAATGAATCAAAGGTAGTTTCACTTAAATAACTTCCCTATTTACAGGAGTTTATGCTCTGTCACTACGAAACACATGATCCAAGAGCATGTTTAGAGCAAGGGAAAGCAGTCACTAGTTGTGCCCAGAGATTTTTCAGACAAATAAAAAAGCATTGTAATGATGAATTTCGTAACTACTACATGTGTCTTCACAAGTTTGGAGGACCCTCTTACAGTTTAACAAGGTATGTCGTTTGCTTACTGATGTATCCTAAAGATTTAAACCAATTATCTATATCCATTAATTAGTTGCTGTTAATTTGCCTACATTGTGTACTTTCTTTTCGGAGGTTACCTTAAGGCCTTAAAGTTTGATTTGACATTCACATTCAAAATGAAGCCATTACTGCATGAAAGACTAGTTGGTAATGTTGATTTCTGTAGTCTTGGTGTCTGTGTGTATGACAGAACATAAGTAAATCCTGAAAAAGAGGTGAACAGCTACGACCAAGTAAATGCTCGTGCTATATTTACTCCGTTTTGAATTGACTGAGTTATATTTCTTTCACCTCTGTGATTGTTGATTCAAAGTTTACTTAGTAGTTGCGGCGCGTAAGTTGAACGTAGAAATATTGGTGATAAACCTAATTATCTGTCTAAGTTTGCGGAGTTCATGAATGTGTTTTACAATTTTTTTTTCCAGTATTGCTCGACATGAACGTTTTAGCAACAGACATTTATGTGGTAATGCATCCACTACAACAATCTTCATACCATTCTTCTTTGATGTTGTTATCGGTTTTTAATTTCAATACACTAGACAGTGCCCTTGTTTCAAAGTAGTAAGAATAGTGCACACTTCGAAGTCTAAACTTAGATAATCACAATAATAGTACTAAAGGAAACTCTTCTGCATTCAGGTACAACTGAAGACGTACATGTACAGACCAACTCCCAGTTTTGAGCTATTTTTTGTCATCTTATGTAATCTATGGTTTTGGTAGTGAAATCGTTCAACTTTATCACGAAAAATTGATATCTTTTTCGTTCATTATGACTAGGTGCCGTTCAGCCCAATACCCTTTTGATGATTGTATAAAAACTCATCTTAATCAAGAACGTCCAGAATTGAATTATTTTAATCGTGTTCGTCTTCATAAAACTGACCGACCGAGATTTGAACCAGGACTAGCTCCAATGCCGAAAAGAATTCCAGACCTCCCGAAGTTTTTACCTGAAAAAGTTCAGAATTTGGAGGACAGCTGAAAAGCGAGCGAATTTGCAACTTAGTGCTATCACAGAAGAGAGTACCGCACATATTTATATTTAAATAAAGTAACAGCGCAGTCATGTTAGTTTAGAAATGGTTGACATCTTATCAATTTGTTTGTTTAATTTTACGAACATAACATAGCTAATCGGAATTTTTATTTATTACAATGTTCAAGGTCTTCTGGTGTAGTTTTTTGTGACAGCTAAAACATTATAAAGCATGGCACGACCGTGGTATTAGGATGCATACTGCAACATTTCACGAATAGTACAGTGTCAGAAAAGCAGAAATAAAAATAGAATGACACCTAGGGTAGTGAATAAGGGGACAGAAACAAGTAGTATTAAAAATAATAATTACAGCGAAATAGATAACAAAGGTATCTACAACAGTTTAGTCATTCCATCAAAAGTTCGCAACCAGTAGTTCAGCTGCTTTTCGGATCTTTCAGCTGAACCGTAATTGCTCACATCCCAGATCACTGGTCAAATACTTTGTGTGTCAAGGTGAGCAGTACCTATTTAGGCGTAACAGAAGTTTAATCCGCTCCAGTCGACATCTGAAAGTTGTGAGGAATAATTTATGCTCGAAATAAATAAATAATGGTGTCACTGCGTTATACCAAATAATAAATCTGATATAGTACATACTGTTTTGCTTAAGGTGTTTAGAAAATTACCTTAAAATGAAACATGTGCGCAATAAATAATCATCTTTTCAAGTAGCCTGCAATGAACAGTTAGTAAACTTGTGGTGAGGCAAATCAGTTTGAAATGAAGAACTATAAAGGCACAGTGTTCTTGGAATTCATTCTACACAGGTGCTATAGAGCTCAATGAACTGCTCAATGAATTGCTAACCATCTAAATGTACATCTATGGTCTAAAAACAACAACCAGATCGAAGACAAAATGCAATTCACAGTCTCATATCATGCAGTACCAAGTGTTGAGAAATACTGTCACATGCTGACTTATTTTTGAAATCTAAAAGTATCACGCTGATGAGACTAATGTTCTTACAGGGTAAATTAATGTCCTCACGGAAAACAGTGATAATGTATGTTTGGTACTGCTCGAAATTATGGCTCTTCAAACTTCGGTTGGCGATGAGTAGCTGGAATTCAACATCTTACTGCCATGTGTTCAGTCATCATCTCTAAAGACCAGTAATTCACAAACCCTACAAAAATTCGTAAGAACTATTTAAGCTGCATACATCTAAATTATCAGTCATTTTATTATGAAATATAAATGCTTTTAATACAGTTAAAGTAAGATTAGTATCACCCAGTTTTCAATAATGAAAGTACCAATAAAAGAGAAAACAACAATTATCTGAGAAGTAATAATAAAGCTACTGAAGGAAATAGAGTACAGTTCCAAGTAATAAGTCAGTGTTCTACTTTTCAAAAAAAAGATTGCACATGGGCTTTCCTAATAGTCCTGTCAATCAAAGGTATGTTAATATGCTTTCGAATTTCTAAACAAAGGAGGATTATATATGTTGTTTGCAAACAGAATGTAATAATAAAGACATGCTATCGGTTACAGGAATGTGTATACATCAACACAGAATAATAGGAAAAAAAATAAACGGAATATATCATTTAAGAGATTTATTCATTTTTTGTTGTTGAAGATCAGCAGAAGAAAAGAAGTGATTAATACAGATATTAGTTCGAAGAAAGTGAGAGGTACTATAATAACTACTTGGAGTCTGTTTTCCGCCGACCAGATTTCGTTTTACGTCTCCACAAAGTAGCGAATGGTCTGACAAAAGAATAATTTCTTGGCAGAACAGTTTTTGAACAATCACCAGTTTCATTGTTAAACTGCACTGATTCTTTTGAGCTAAACGCTAAGAAATATAAAGCCATTTCACAAAAATAACAGTTCACTGTGTAAAAATTCCAAGTGTAATAAACATGTATAGCCTTTAGTTACAGTTGTACAGTGGCATCAAATGATGTGTTCAGTGTGAACTCTAGAGCGGGGGTAATGATAGCTTAGCCACTCACAAAATATCCTCTTTTGCTACTATAATTGTACGATTTATTTTTGCTTACAAATCTCATAATCTTAACGCGTGTCATCAATTACATAGGCTGGGTTCAACTACATTTGAAATGCAGAACACTTAGCTTAAGGCTTCATCTGTTTCTGAAATACCAAAACTATTGTCATATTCTAATTTGCTAGCAGATGAATTCAGGGCGCGCGTTCCCTCCTGTTAGGGACTTGTCAACTGGATATTCTTGCACCCCAGTGAGTGGTGTTCCCCCTGGCATCCAGACACGGCTCAAAACACCGAAACGAATCTATTAGGCCACATTGTGTGCAGCAGATACGGGTCATTATTTAATGTTAGAAACCCAAGTCGACGCAGGATAAGAACGGGAAATTACAAGTATCAATAAAAAACTCTGTTGTGTTCAGTACAACATCATTAGATAATAACTAATAGGAGAATCTTCTTTAGAACATAGGTATTTAGACTGTTATACACTATTTAAAGCACAGTTAAGTATGATCAGCCAACCGCAACACCTACTTATCGCTCTCTATAAGCATTTTAGTCATGCAAAATGTTGGGAGGTTATTTGGTCACATAGCAAAACTTGATCGATAAGCTTAAGTGCTAAAGACTTCGGAGATACGTCGTTTAATAACTAATGACCGACTCATGCACATTTTGGTCAATGTATGACATAGTTTTACTTAGAGTACGCAGACGACATCGTCCTGCTGGGTGAAAACTGACAAATGCAGCGTCTTCTGAAAACCGTAAGCAGAAATCTGAATATTTTTGGCATTCGTCTCGCATTTGTCCAGTGTAAGGTGATGCTTCAAAACTGGTCTGCAACTACTCCAAGTTTGAAGATAAGGAGTAAATAGGTGGAACGCGTTGACCATTTCACTTACTTAGAGAGTTGCATTAGCCTGAAGGGGATAGTTGCTGATAAAAATCTTAGCTCGGATGCAGAAGGCCCGTTTAGTATTTGCCAACATGCGTCATCTATAGCACCGACTGGCAAGATATCCAACTACCTAGTAAAGGACGAGTATACTGCGCTACAGCCTGTTCGGTCCTGTTGTACGGCTGTTAAGCATGGCCGCTGTAAGCAGAAGATATAGAGTGGTTAGACGTTTTTGATCACAGGCACCTTCGTAGCATTCCTTGCATGTGGCGGAATCACCATGTGAGCGATAACCAGGTCAGGCGAAGGGTACAAGGCAAGGAAGGGAGGTCACTCAATGAAGTTGTGAACCTTCAGTGACTGAGATGGCTTCGACATGTGTTAAGCATTCCAAGCCACGGTCTACTTCAACGTGTAGTGTTGAAGGGATTTGGACTAGATTATAAACATCCAGATCATAATTGTTACGAATGTCCTGGAAAAAGTTCAGCGCCGGGTCTGACTGAATCATTATAAGGAGATATTTTGATATAATCCCAGCGTGTTTAGAAAATCAAACACGCTGGGATTATATCAAAATATATTCTTATAATTTGGACTAGGTTGGAAGAGCGTTCATGGTGGTCAGACTAAGACGTGGCACTAGTGCATTAAATCCATGACCGTTGGTTTGAGCCGTATAGACTATCTAGCTGGGTTCCCCAAGACGACAGGAATCAGTGGTTGAGGACTCCTCGTGACATGACTGAGAATCGGTCACAGTGACGCAGATGTATTCACTCTTTGATTTCTTCTATAGTTTGAATGTTTAGACTGACCTTGAGTTTTAAATTATCTCTCCTCCCACACACCTTGTCTAATTTGCGAACTTGAACCGATGCACTTGTGTGCGAGGTTATGCGTTGATTTTGTGTCTGTCTGAAGTTTTACAAGCATTATGCGCAGAGTGAAAGGTTGTGGATTAATGAGTTATACTTCTGTAAATATGTCACACTGAACTGACTTGCACAAATAAAATAATTTACGCAAGAATAATACTACAAGTGTTTGATACAGAGAAGTAAATATGACAAAGTAATCGTTCACTGGTGCAAGGCTCGTTTCTGACTCATTATCACATACCTTAATAGTCTAACCACTAAATTTTATCCCAATATTAATTATTGATGGTATGATTAAGAATATGCCAAAATAATATTTGATAAACTAAGTTCACTAAGTCCCGATAAAAGCACTAATGAACAGAGTATGGAAGACAAGAATTATTAAGGAGGTTTATTTTAAAAGGGATCATAACTGTTGCATTAACACGTCCGATTTACACCTCCTATGATTTCAGTTACAGAGAAGTCGCAAGTTTGCTTTTCTGGACGACTCATTCGACAAGGATCTCAATGAGTAGTGCCAATTTCTGATACAGTTTTCTGCACACTGTAATCACTGATCTTTCCAAAAATTTGTGCTAGGAATCATGCAGTTTACCTGTGTTCGTTTTTAAAATATTTTACTTAACCAAATGAGGTATCCGAAATCTACAAAAATATTTATTTATCTGATTAGAAGAAAGCACTTAAGTGCGCTGTTATTAAACTATTTCATCTTAGATATGTATGGGATCCGTATAAACATATGCGAGTGTTAAGCTAAGTTCATGGTTTCCAGCCTATGAAAGGCAGTCCATGAATATGCATCGAAGCAATGAACAGAAGGCAAAAGTTACACCGAATACAAATCAAAAGGCGATATCATCGAAGTATTCACAATGAATTGAAGTGAGAACAAAACTTTTAAGGAAACGACTGGTTGCTGAACGCTTTAAACAACCAGATCAGTAGACAAAACAAACTCATATTTTGCATGAATAAAATCTTCGCTTCTTTATGCCTACATAGACTGAAAAATGATACATCTAACTACATATAAAGGATTCTTTTCCCTAAATTCCCTCCTGACCTCAAGCTTATTGGTGAACTCATTGATGAGTACATCTCATGAGAAAAATAGTCATAAATGTTTCACAAGAAACAGACAAATTCAACGTAGAACCTCATACAGGTGCATCGGTCCAAGTTACCACACTGCACAGCAGTGAACAAAGGACAGGTGGATAGAAAAGGTGATATTAAGGTAGATAAGGCAGTGTGAGATAAAAGACAGTTCGAAGATGCAAATATTCAAGCTTTAGAAGTCAAGGTGAAAGACAGCACTAGAAAAGCCCTGATAAGTTCGGAAACTTGAAAGCTTTGTTAGATAAAACCCATTGGTTGACAACATTCAAGTCAAGTTACCTAGAGGAATGGATAGCCAGAGAGAATCTACATTGTTAGAAGAGTTCAAGAGACGGATATACCACGTCTGATATGAAAGACAAGTTTTACTGTACAGTTAGGATTTAAAAAATACACTAAGACAAAGATTGTTCCTGAGTTTTGGAAATTACAGTATCTGAATCCAGAAAGAGAAAGTTCGGCATGAATTAAAGCAATCTTCAGGTAGTGCAGATGGAAGAAACAATAACTTTGAGTGGAAAATTGAAAGATACTTATTCAGGAGAACGAAATGGGAATAACTAACTAAAACAAGAGTAGTAACCTAGACGTCCAAAAACATTGGACTATACAACCACATATACGTTTGTGTGCAAAGTTGCACCGATTGCTTCATGATCAGAAATTTACCTACATTCCCAGAGGATACACTGGAAGTGGTACAATCAAAGCCAACCGGTGAGCCACTACTTTACAGTTGAATACTAATAAAACTGAGCAAAGGGATTACTCTTGAATCATTCAACGCTAAAACCAACATTGCTGGGGACATACAGTAATTAAGTCAAAATAAAGTATCAAAACTTACATAGTTCCTCATGAATGCAATCAAAATTATTCACTGAGTTGTTGCTAGTCTGCTTGGGCACAAGTTTAGCTTCAGGAAGAGTTTGTTCAACTGCAAACAAATGATCGGAATTATTCATTTTGATATCAATGTCTGTGTATTTATTATTCTTGTCAACTGAGTAATGTGTTGGGTTCACCATTTCACAAACTATATTTTTCCCATGTTCATTATAAACATCTGTACGTATGAGATGACCTGTTAAAGCTTCGATGCGACTCCAACGATTGACGCGCTCTTGGACTTCAGTTTGAAGCTGATCTAAAGCCACCCTATGAAATGATAATGAACAGAATTACATGTCAGCGAAGTTGATAACACTGAACTATGTATCATGCTACTAAAATAACACATAAAAATTGAAAAAAGCACATTGGAATTATGAAAATGACCACCAGAAACTAAAACTTAATCCTATAGATCGATCGCAGATTTCATATACACTGTAAATTAAGTTTACATATATCGAACTGAAAAATTCCTATATTTAACTAAGAATTCAAAATAATTAACACGATTATTAAGCATACGAAATCAATTTCAGAACATCAAGGTATGCAGTAACCTATTAGATTGTGAATTGAAACATATGATAGACAGCTTATCATTAGAACAGACTTCCACAACGATATCACCCATTTCTTGGTACGTAATTACTTAGTTTATCCCTACTAAAGGTCAGGACGAATCAGATTATGTAAAGCATAACTTCTTTAGATCAGGTTCAGAATATCATGTATTGAAATAACAGATACCTGCTATTGCTGCCAGAGCAGAATAATTAAGTTAAGTGACATTAATAGCTTCACAATAATGGGCAAACATCTCATTCGATACAGAAAAAAAGGTACATAAAACACGAAAAGTTCAATCAAGTTTATATGTACATTATATGTGGGTATATATCTCTCTTATTGCTAAGGGAACACATCACATGGTTTGAGTAGTAATGCATTATTATTTCTGTAATAAACAAATCCAGTTCAAGAACCCATGACTGATATGCTGGCTGAAAGAAATGATTAAAAATACACACAATAAAATGAATAATAACTTGTCAAATGTAATCACTAAGATATATTCTGCACCTTGTCTGTTAACTAAGCTGAATGCAGTATCATTCTTTAGTATTATATCAAATTTACTTTAGGTTTCCTAAAAAATTACCCACTGTTCCAACAATAAAGACTGATCGAATGAAATATAATAACAACAGCTGCTGAAAGCTATTATAATTACATCTTCCTTGGGTTCCTAGTGGAACATAGGGCTTCAGAAGCACGTCTCCGTTGCTTTCTGTTCTCTGCAGTCTTTTGAACCTGGCTCCATGACTCCTCAACAAGCTTTCATTTCTTCTTCACATGATTTCCTCCATGTCAGCCTCACCTCGGACGCCAAACTCGTCGTTTCCCCTTTGGATTCCACTCGAGCACTTGGCCTGGCCCATGATGTTCCCAATCGGCCATCTCAGTGTATGCCCAATCCAATCCAACCCATCTCCACTCTCTGCTCCTGAATATTTGTTGGGTGATAGGTTCTTGGTTGGTTCGTTCCCAGAGTTCCTTGTTGCTTATTCTTATTATTCTGGTGACATGATCTTCAGTATCGGGGGAGCGTAGGCAGCTGTTGACCTTCTTCACCTTGTGTCAAATAGGCTGTGTCTCCACTTTCTTCACATTGAGATGAAGTCGATCTGATTCTTTGTGTAGTGTGTCCATCTGGTGAAATCTATGTCGCTCACTTTGTGAATATCTTTGTGTTTGTACACACTGCTTCCAATCACCAAATCGTTGAATGCGCAGAAGTCTGTAAACAGTTCTTCATTCTCGTTCATTTCACCGAGTACCTCTCGACCCATGATCACTTGTCTTCTTGTTTTGTGTGCTCCAAGTTTGGCATTCCTGTCGCCCATTAGAATTTGGATGTCGCCAACTGAAGTGGTGTCTTGTCCAGTACTGATTGCATTTGTCTGTAGAATTCCTCCTTCTTTTCTGTATCTGTATTGTTTTTTGGCGCGTGGCATTGAATGATTGTGACTTTCCTTCCTTTTGAGTTGAATCCATCTTGCTGTCGTGATCTTGATCCCGGGAGAAATTGATTTCCACTGCGTGAGAGCCTTTGATGTTCTTGGAGACATTATGAGTGCCACTCCAAAACTCAGTGTACGCGTGGTTGTCGTCTGGGTGACAATATCGGAGTAGATTATTGACTGTCCGGTTGGTAGTTTGGAGAGTCCACTTCCATTCCATCTACTTTCAGAGATTCTAAGCATTTCTATGCCATACCTTCTCATCTCTTTGGCAGTCTGGACAGCCTTGGTAGATTCATACATGGTGTGGAGATTCCATGACCCCATCCTTACTTTCGGTTTCATCGAGAGAACAGAAGGCACATTTGGTCAATTGTCTTCCCGAAGACTCTCACCAACCGGAGTCATTTCGTCTCTCCGATTCCGGCGAGGAATAAGTTCATTTTTAATATTTTCTTTGTGCTTTGAAGTTTCTTTAGCGGTTGGATTGGTTTTACGGGGTAGGGGGCCAGCCCTATGTCCAACCTTCCCTCTTTATTCGGGCTTAGGACCAGCCAGTAACTAGTGAACTAGTTAACCAGGCGAGCTGAAAATCATGATGCATTTTTAAAAGATACACTACGTTTTGTTACTATGACACAGTAACGCCAGTCCAAGATGTGGCACGGTTATTTATGTCCAATCGCTGTTTCTCCCTCCTGTCATCAACCAATATTCAATACATAGAAAAACAAGTCAAAGTTTCAGATAAACAGATCAACATGGGTACTCACACACAAATAACTAGTCTTTACTACCTATCCAATGTTTTCCAAAGTGACTAATACACTCCAGTAACACAGTGAAGCATAGAACAAAAAAGATGAAAACTAAACTGGGGCAACAGAAAACAACTAACTATGAAGTCTGAAGTAGTAAGCTCCAGTTGCACTACAGAGGTCACAACAACATGATACAATAAGAGGCATTTAATATGTGACGTTGATAACCTCGTTTCTTACATCTCATTCAATTAGTGATCAGTTAAAACCAAGTAAGAACTACAAGGTTTGTAGAATGAAATCAACTAGCTTTGTATCACATCTTCTCATCAGTTGTAAACAACTTCAGGCTACAATGAATATTGACATTAGTAAGTTAATGACACTTTGAGTATACAAGTTGAAAAAATCCATGAAACACCGAAATACATGCTTCAAAAGAAAACAGGATGTAAACAATTTACAATGAGCAATAGGAATCAATACTTATTTAAATATGACGAGTTTAGGAAGTATGGATGAAACGGGATGGAAGGTGCGACTAGTAACTCGAGAATAACGTCAGACAAACACATAAAACAACGTAGAACCTAGCACACAAGTGTATCGGTTCAAGTTCCCAAACATCATATTAGTATATCAAGAGAAAATGGATAGGAAACACTGACATCAAAGTAGATAAGGTATGTAGGAGAAGAGATAATTTAAAACTCAAGGTCAGTCTAAACATTCAAACTATAGAAGAAATAAAAGAGTGAATACTTCTGTGCCATTGTGACTGATTTTTAACTACGTTACGAGGAGTCCTCAACCACTGATTCCTGTCGTCTTAGAGAACCCAGCTAGGTAGTCTACATGGCTGAAACCAACGGTCATGGATTTAATGCACTAATGCCACGTCTTACTCCGGCCACCCTGAACCCTGTTCCCATCTAATGCGACCTCACCTAGCATAGTACATCAATAATAACGTAGGAAGATGAGACAGAATACATAACATTAAGTGAATGGGTTTTTAATCACTTATCAGTGAAAAATTGGACTTTTTTTCTGATACTGCTACTTAGTGCTATAAAGGGAGTAGTAAGAAAAGATTATTTACACTGGGAAGGGTTTACAACATTTTGTGTTTTACGTAACTCAAAGCAATGAGTGACCATATATACGAGGATTAGTAACAGACAGGATGCGTGATTTGATTAGTACAGTGATGAGAGGCTAATGACAACTTCGAGTGGGTCAGGTTAATAGGAAATAACAACAACTGTCTTCTCATATTGTTTTTGTTTCTTTCAATAACTTTTTATAACTTTTCATTTTCTATTCATGAGCTGCTATAAAGCATAGCAACTTGGACGGGTATACGTTTGAAGTGAATTCCACATTGTTATGGCTGCCCTCTAAGTAGTAACGCTCCTTGTAAGATGAAGCACGTTTAATACTTACTGAAGTTTTGTAACCTTAAGGGCTTTTATGATATCGATTCCACATCCCATCGGGAGCAATGTTTATCAATTTCGCTTCTGATAACCTTGATCTGGCTTCAATTGTAAATGTCTGGGAATATGCTTGTGAAACCAATCTTTTTTATTTCTCGTTGATATTTCTTTGTTCGAACGTCATTTGAATACAATACATACTTCTCAACACACTCATTATTAAACATTTTTATTTACTTTTTCAACTTAAGTCCTTGTCATACATGTTTCCACCCTACGTTATAATCATGGTATTATAACAAGTTTAAATAGCCATTGATTTAAGTACAAGCAGTCAAGAAGCTTGTTGCACATTTGACATTCTGCACTCAGCTTACAGTTACAAAAGAATCAGAACAGATAAAGGATTAATTTCAGTTTTATTTCTACGTGAAACACATATCAAATATAGTAGAGTGAACTTATGGCATGTGGGATTAAGTACTCAGAGTATATCTGCTGAGTCATCCATACAAATGACGTTTCACCTACCGAGGTTAGAAGAGTATGCAGTATCATTAACTCTAACATATTAATACTGGGTGATGATTGAAGGTGAAATGAAAATTCGGACCACTGCCGGACTCGAACCAGAGACCATCGGGTTTCCCGTTCGATGCTCAACTACCTGAGCCACGAGGTCCAAACAGACACGTTTTATCGTCTAGTAAAAAGGTGTGGAACTGTCTACGAAGTTGCAATTTGACCCCCCCCCCCTTATAAACGATAGTACATTAGGCGCTGTGGTATGGTGAACAGCACACCTGTCATATTGAAAGAAGTTTTGTCTTCTCTCATATATTAACTGGGATCCAAAGAAGTTATAAAAAAATAAAACACCCATTTCCCTTTTATGCAATGGAAACCGAAACCACTTAACCTAATCTGTGTATTCCAGAGAAAATCAAAGCAATTACCTGTTTTTATCTGTAGTGAAGGTGAACCGTCACGGTATGATCACTGAACAATTTAGTATCTGTCTTTAATCATTATGCAGAATATACTTCTGTGTTGTTTACGTGTTGGTTGTGCTCTGGAAAATTAGTATAATCCTGTTTTTAATTTTTTATATTATTAGTAACTTCATAACCTTAAACAAGATATATTATACTTTTGAAACTAAAAAGCATTATTATCACGTCCACTTAATTTTGTCTTTTCATAAAAGCTGACTATTTCAATCACAAACTTTCTGTAGGCTTTATACTAACCTCCAAGAAATTACGCTCACATGATAGTTGAGAAAAATATTAGGGATGCCTTTATTTTCCATATTTCCCATTGGTATTGTTTTTCTCGCTCTTTTTCCAGCAAGTGAGTCACATTTCATGCAACCCGCTAGCGTTCTGATTGGTTCCTCCCTCTTTAAATGTACTGATTATTCCTTTTCTTTTAAAGTTACTGTAAACTCTATAAACAGGGCTCGTTTTTACTAATAAACACTTTCAGTTCAGTTGATTAGCAGTCTTTTGATTTCCCTCTGCGAACCACTCGGATTTAACTATCTCACCCCTCGACTATCAATCGTTAACTGTTATCGTCGGTTCTCACAACTCCGCATCATAACACATTGAAAAACTGTAATGAGATTGAAATCTGGCGAACGATTGCATATCATAGCTCTGTCGGTAGAACACCGAGTCAGTAATATCAAGATGACTGGTTTCAAGCCTACCGAAAACTTTCAACTCCTACCAAAGTTTTCAAACATTTAGATTATTCTGTCAAATAGATCATATTTTTGTAAAATGAGAGAAAGAGTAGTCATAAATATGCAACTTTACGGTCTAAACAATAAGTCACTGAAAACAATTTTTCCCTTTGAATTCCCTCTTACCAGAAGTGTTTACTTTGAATCATCAACAAAAAATCTTTCTTTATAGTGAGAAAATAAACATCACAGTTATCTGCTGGGAATACAAAGCTCCGAAACTGTTTATTTTAGTAAAATGCTCTGTTAATTGTAGGGTTTAATGTTAGCTAACTAGGTTGAAAAGTTAAAAGTGGTCAGATTGGCACACTGCATTGATTTATAAGGTCTCATAATGTTGACTGAGCTGCTTAAGGGAAAATAGGCGTCTAGGTCAGGGTCAATAAGACGACGAAATCGAAAGTTGGGGATTGCGTAATATGGTTCAGAATCGATTGTGGTGGCGCAGATGCAGCCAGGCATTATCTTTTTCTAAATTAGAACACCAAATCTTGTTGTTAGTTCTATCGCCTCACCCTTTCGCTAAATCGCTTGACCGTGATTCTACATCACACTATTTTAATTTCTTTATCGCCTTGTTTTTAGGCGTGGTCTGATATAACTCTCTCGATAACATGATGTAATTTAGTAACTGTGTGCAAGTTGGCACCCTAAGTAATTTTTCTAAGTATCTAGCAAAGGAGCGGGGTTAAGTTAAAGCGTGTGGCCATGGAGATGAAAACCAGGTGATAAGACAACTGAGCCCCAGATTCCAGTGTCGTATGTTCACTCAGACCGCTACACAGTAAGACCAGTTTTCTCTGTTAGTCATAACAATACACTGTGCATCTGAGAGGGAAACCACATGAACCAGTCAGTATTTAAAACTTTTAGGTTACTACACAACTTCCTGAGGTTGTAAAAATGACAAAACTTATTTTAAAAAGCAGCCGTGTGCTGACAAGTTGCCTGGAAGAGCATAACAATGAAAAACCTACTTAGCAATAATCAACCGCTTTTCCAATTCATCCAAATTATCCGTGTGTACTAGTCGAACAGAACCAAAAACAGTATAACGTTTACGATTAAAACGTATACACTGAAAAGAAAAAAAAGAAACAAAAATAATCAATATACATACTGAGAATGGCTTTACCTAAGTACTACTGTATAACCAATAACATACAATAATAAAAATCTATAAAGTGAGTTTACATTTTTCTTATCTCTCCTTTTACCAAGTTTAATCTGAATTATGATCACATTTTAAAGGATTAGACTGTGATTATTTTTTTAATCAGCTGGTTTGATGTGCATTTAATAGTTCCTCCTGTGATAGATAAGACTTCATAAATCTTTGTAAAGAAGTATATGAAAATAGGAATCCCGTAACAGCATTACAGTGACTTTAAAGGCTACCCTAGAAACAACTGAAATAACCAATTAGACTACCCTATTTTATGAAAATCCGCCTTTTCAACCGAAGTGAAGAAACTTAATTGGTTATTTCGGTCGTTGCTAGGGTGGCCTTTAAAGTCAACCCAGCATTACACTTTTTAACGAGTACATTATCCTCAAAGAATACACTTTATTACGACAGAGATCACAAAAATATAACACTCATTTGATATAAACTGTTCTACATATATTCTTTGATGAACGGTGTATTTTATTTATGTGACCGGAGAGTAGTGTATCAGAACAAATCGCAAAGTAGACAAATATTTTATACTATTTTTCAGCATTTTGATCTTGTTAGAAGGATCCTTTTCAAGATTATGTTCTATATACAGTTAAACCGTCAGTAGAGAACCTGGCATTGGGTAGAGTGCAATTTCATAGTACACTAGTTTATCTGGTATAGCACACAGTGACTCAGTATTATTTACTGGACGACATTTTGAGCACAACATATTCCCCACATTCACACAACTTATATTTCTAATGATTTTGTTTCTTTGATCTTACTTGCAGGGGAATTTCAGATACATCTGGGATTATCGCTGAAACATTCCTTTTGTGTAAACGGCGTTGATTTGATGACCAGTAATTTGGTGATCAACCTTTTGCTCCACCTAATTACATCAGTCTTTCGGACTTTTGCTCTGTCTCAAACTATAGTGTGATGGTGTCAATGCATGCATGGCTTACTCATCTTGGTCGGCTTTACCATTCTAAATCTTGTTTAGTGTTTATGTTCTGCTAACTTGAATGAATTCGTTTGGTTAGTACGACCTATATACTTGACCTTAACGGCATCAATAAGTCAATAGAACTCCTCAGTGAACAAAGTTTTTCTCCAAGTGAATTCACAGATTTAAATGCTACCCTAATCCCAGTCTCGTTAAGAATCCTACGCAAGTCTACCGTCTTACATTCTTCATACAGCAAGACTACAAACGCCTTGAAACCCTTAATACTCATGTTGCAACCGCTGATCACACTACTAATCCTCCTTCTCTTATAGGCTCCTAAGACTTTTAGGTGAATTTCCAAGGAAAATTACTTGTTAAGGTTCCTCCTATTTCTTCATTTAGATTTACGAGAAAAGTTTCCTGCTCAATCGCTTAAAGATTTAATCAAACTTGCTTTGACTGATGTGAAGTGGGATGAATTAAAGTATTAGTCAATTCGCTTCCACTCTGTGTGCTACTGTGAAGCGTGGAAACTTGAACTGATGCATTTCTATGTAACTTCTCACTCTGATCTGGGTGTCTATGCCCACCTACACAGTGGAAGTACGATTAATGAGTTTTAGTGGATCCAATGATACTTTGCAGGTGTTTTGCATCTCCTTCTCTAAGTAGTAACCTGTACATATCTGATGACTACGAATACATGTCTACGAATACAAGCAGTCATCTTTTTCTTTCACGCGTGTTACAGAAATACTACTTTATGCTCCACTTGTCTAACTAAGAACCGATATGATATCCATTGTCATATCATATATGACTATCATATCCTTTATAAAAAGGAACTATTGAAATCAAGTTTGCAGAAGGTATATCAAATGTATCACAGTCATAAATGACAGGTTGACACATATGATTCATAGATTCTCAATCTTATGGAGTGAACAAAATGCAGTAGGTCGCTGAACATGTGTGTATGAAAGAGAAGATAGTTTGTCACAAACTGGCAAGATGATTCATTACACTGGTAGAAAAGACCAGTATGAATATTTGAAAAAAGGAATAGGACTCCATAAAAAATGGCTCATGTCTAAAGGCGAGACAAAAAAATTACATCTGTGATACCAGGGTCAATTTCAAGGCAAATAGTCCAAAATTGCGAAAAAAGAACTTTTCAGTAATTTTCAACCATAAAAGTGAGATTTTATGAGAACTATTCTGTTGAAATATAAGTAACGTAATTGAACAGTCAAATGAAGGTCTGTACATAGAACAGAGAACAACGCATACTGTGTCAAAGCTGATGAAACTACCTGATTACCTAGAACTTAGTACGTGGAGCACGAATGAAACCTAAAACCCACTGATTGAAAGCTCAATAAATAAGACAATGAACTGCATCTTTAGTGCAAATCCTCACTAACTGAATCTCAACAGTAATGAATCGAAATTATGCCAGACATAATAATATCCAGAAGTACAAAGCCAAAAAACATGCATAACAGAAGGAGAGAAAACTGAGTTATGAAATTTTCGGATGGTTGTAGTTTAACCAGAAGCACTGGACGATCTAGACTAGATGCTTTTAATACTCGATAGCAAAGCTTATGAACAATCCAAAAAAAATATCGTTTTAAAACAAGGAACTGACGCCACTCTGTACAACTGTCATAAACGTTATGAAGCTTCTCGAAAAGCAACTAATCTCATAGATGACTGGATAAATAAGACTAATCACTCAGTGAATCTTCGGAATTGCAATCTACATCCAAGGCAATCAGTACATCGAGTCAAACCGTTAAACAATGCACTATTCTATCACGTCATTCAGATTAACGACTACACCACAAACAAAATCGATAGAAGTAAATCAATCGTGACGGTTACTATCCATTCACGGATAGATCTGACTAAAAACTCAAATAACAAAAGATTAAAAAATTAGTTGATGAATGAAAAAATCAGAAGATAAAACCTAAGTGAGATCAGTTCACATAGTTTACATGAAAAGTACCCTACATATTTAGTTACCGCTTGTCGAGCAATATTCAGTTTCTTTTCAGCTTCGATCTTTTTCTCACAAAAGCGTTTAAGTTCCAGTTCATAAGTAACTTGTAGCCAATGTTTAAGTTCGTAGCGAAATTCGCTTGAATTGCATTTAGCACTACGGTTTGAGGCTGAAGCACTTGGTATATAAAACTCATTTCCAGGAGAGTTTCTCAAGTTCCGTTCTTTTAAATATCCACTTTTATTATGTTGAAAAGAATGTGCCTGATCATTGTTCGACGGGTCATCATCGGAATGAATGCTTGGATTTAACACATTCGAATGAACTGACTCACTGAGTGAATCAGTTAGAAAACTCAATTCCATAACAGAATTTGAAATATGCGGTAGTTGACCGCAGGACTGTTTATGAATAGGTAGACACTGTTCTCCAAAGGTTCCTGTGTTCATTGGGTTAAAGGATGATAAATTTTCGCGATTTACGCGCTACAAAAGAGACAATATTATGTATATCAATCATCGAAACACGAATGCATAAAACAATGAATTCAAAAACGTGTAAATGGAGATGAAAAGAGTAAACTACTATCACCTCTTTTAAGTAAACTTGCATGATAAATGAACGCAACTCAAGACACATCCTAAGTCTTACTCACTCAATTTTCAGTTTCAATCGCCAGATTGTCTTGTATGTGTGTTATTACCTATTATTTATTACCTCTTGTGATTAAATAACAGTAAATTTTTTGGGTTCGCCAAGTTGTTGGTTCACGTTTTTCTTTCTTTTCCTTTCCTTCTCTAGATTTCTGTGGTGGCTAAGTGGACTACTAACATAAAACTTACGCTTTTCTAATCCCTTCCCCGACCAACCGACAACTTACCTAGAGATTAGCAGAAAGAATACCAGTAGCTAATTAACTGCTGTCTAACTTTAAAAAACCGGTCAATAGAAATACCTTAATCTCATCTGTTTGATCAGTAATGAGACACATATTGCTTTTATCAAACTGTATACTTCACAAATAACCACAAGTCACTATCAAAGAAAAACCTCCCTGATATTTCATATATTTTTGTGACCTTGGTATTTGGAGTGAAAGTTTTGGCTTACCAATAAAAACCAGCTAACAAGGTCGTGAAGTGCCGCTTTTAAATAGAATTCTTTAAAAAAAAATCATTGGTATCCAGTCACTTGTTTAAACACACCATGTCATTTAGAATGGCAGCAGGATGGAAGAGCACACAACGTCGTCCGAGCGAGAGATGACACTGATTTGTGAAGACTCTGACTAGTGACTTGCATAACAAAAATACTATCCCACGCTCAGTAGACCTTTAGATGATGCCAGTCTATGCAGAAAATTTCCTTGAAATGATTTCATTTTCTTAGGGAATAAAATTAAACGGTATTCAAGGTAAATGCTCGTGTACTTATCTACAGATAACACTGGAAAGTTAAGTAAAAGACTACACCTACCTGTGATGCTGTAGACAGAAACGCTGAAGAAGAGGCAAAGCGATGATTCAATTCATAGGCATTTAATGTTTGTCGTAAATGTTCCACATCATCCAGCCTATTTATTTCAGAAAAGAGATACACACAACATCGCCAGTGATAAGAAAGACGCAGCGCAGATTATTAACCGGAATCCTAACAAAATGTGCACAGTTGACCTATCATAACTAAATCTCAACATTGTCTGACAAAGAACAAAGGAAAATGCAACCCAGTAACACGTTTTGCAAATAAGTGTGTCAAAATATGAAGAACATTTATTGCGAGGGTAAATAAACACAAATAACGGATTAAGCCTTTGATCTAAAAGTGACAAGTCCATCCATCCATCCAGATCAACTTAGGACCATGCATTACTGCATAACGGTTCGAGCTGTCACACCTCATATCACTAAATCAAGTAAAAAGGCAGTGAAGTCCAAGATGAAGAAAACAAAATTCAATGAAAAGAAGTATAAAGTACAAAAGAGAGAAAGGAAGAACAAGAAAATGATGAGATTCGGCATAGTGTTGAGATGAGGATAATATGTGTATACACTTGCGCCATTGACACCGGTTCTTAGCTATATCACTTACAATCTCCAACCACTGGTTTCTCTTATCCCGTGGACCCCAACCACCTAGTTTGCATCGCCTCACATATCTCAGACGAACAGTCAAAGACTTCATACATTGGTGCCATGTTTCAGTCTGACCGTCTCGAACCTTTTTCCAGCCTGAACCTACTTCAGCCAACATTGTGTGACGAGGCAGGCGGCGACTAGGCATACGCAACACATGTCCCAACCATCCCAGTCGGTAAAGCTTCACAACCTCATCAACTGACTAACCTCTTCTCCCTAAAACTCTACACCTGACTTTTGCGTTACTCACGCAGTGACACCACGAAGCACGGCCTATACTACGAAGGCAACGGTGGTCAAACACCTGAAGCCTTCTCATGTCTTCCACCTTCAATGGCCATGTTTCATAGTCATATAGTACAACAGAACGGACTGAAAAGTGACAAGTGAATAAGTGCCTTAACCTTTGAGAAAAATGCAGTACAGTGATGCACCAATATATATGATACCGTTTGTTGATAGTCACTTGGATTAGTTGAGAACCAACGGAGTGTGAATAAAAAGAAAGGAACAATTTAAAATGCAAATATTTGATCCAAGCAATTTTCATTATTTTAAAAGTCGACATGAAATAGTCTAAGTCGTACTTATCCTTAGAATCTGCGGGAAATTTTAATAATACCATATACTGATTTGGAAAACTTAATGTTACAATCAACTTATCCAATGCACTAAAAGTGTAGATCAACTCATACTAACTGTATTTCGATCAAAACAACGATAATCTGCCTTTAGAAATCAATTTCTACAATTACTTAAACATCTCAAGAATAAGAAAAGATGATACCAGAATAAATAAATCTCACAATTATTAATGTTTTAATTTAGGAACGAAATGTAATTCAACCCGCTGCAATTTGCATTACTCTTAGAGCCATACTAATAAAGTGAGGTAATAGCGTGCGACTCGTGCTTTGAAAATCCAACTTCTCGACTAATGAAAAACTTAAAGATACAACTAAAAACATTGGTTTAAACTATGAAAAAAAGCTTAACGAATCGATTTGATGATGGTTGGTAGAAATTGAGAATCTGAGCGAATAATAAATAGGAAAGATCAATTTGAAACATAGGACAAAAGTGCATCGATTTAGTCTATCACAATTACCAGTAGCACAGAAAGAGGAGATTAACAGAACTACATTGATGTTAAAATAAACAGAAAGGATATGAGAGGAAGGAGATCATGGTCCAATTGGATCAAGAAGTCGAATTAAAGATAGAAGATATTTGTGGGGTGATCATAATGACTGCAAAAAACCGCTTTTGACAGGGAAATGAATGTAATGTGCTACCTGTATGAATATATGTACGTAATACGTAGTGTGATTTTATTGAGAATAGAAATTGGTTGTCGTTTAATCGGCTGAGGTTCTGAAAGAAGAAATGATAAGAATAGAACGAAAATACAGGAGACAAACAAAAAAGCAACGGAAACTGAAGATTTACTCATTTACAATATATGATGAAGAAACTATTTGGATGAACCATGATTAATGTACACAAACTCGAAGATCTATAGGCAAAAATCAACAAGTTGACAGAAGAGGCAGCGAAAACGGGAATTCAAGTGAATGTAGAGATGGAAGTGATGAAAATACCCAACGAAAAACAGCATCAACAACAAGCACCAACCACCATTAAAGGAAGAAACCTAAAGGAAGTAGTCTCTTTCACCTACCTAGGCAGCATTGTTTCAATTACAGATGGCTGCACAGACGGTGACGTCAAAGCCATGATCAAAAAAGCACGACAGGCTTTCACTAATCTGAAGTCAGTGTGGAGATCTACTGCACTAAGCACAAAGAACAATATCCGAATTTTCAACACCAATGTCAAGTCAGTGCTGTTATATCGTTCAGAAACTTGGCGTGTCACGAAAAGCATTTCCAACAAACTACAGACATTCGTCAACAGCTGCCTACGCTCCCCCGATACTGAAGATCATGTCACCAGAATAATAAGAATAAGCAACAAGGAACTCTGGGAACGAACCAACCAAGAACCTATCACCCAATAAATATTCAGGAGCAGAGAGTGGAGATGGGTTGGATTGGGCATAAACTGAGATGGCCGATTGGGAAAATCATGGGCCAGGCCAGGTGCTCGAGTGGAATCCAAAGGGGAAACGACGAGTTTGGCGTCCAAGGTGAGGCTGACATGGAGGAAATCATGTGAAGAAGAAATGAAAGCTTATTGAAGAGTCATGGAGCCAGGTTCAAAAGACTGCAGAGAACAGAAAGCAACGGAGATGTGCTTCTGAAGCCCTACGTTCCACTAAGAACCCAAAGAAAAAAAAATAATCATAAATGATCGATGTAAGGTTTCTATAATTTTTGCTGAGACTCAATTTTATCAGTTCCCATCTCTTTTGTGTCTGCACAATTATTCTAGTACAAGAAATAACACAACTAATTGTTTCCAATCACCGTTCTTCAAGCAACACTAAAAACAAAGGACTACAACTTCCAAGTTCAAGAATCAATAGGTATTTCCATACATACAAAAATGAGTTAAAGTTTCAGATAAACAGATCAATATGGATACTCACACACAAATAACTAGTCTTTACTACCTATCCAATGTTTTCCAAAGTGACTAATACACTCCAGTAACACAGTGAAGCATAGAACAAAAAAGATGAAAACTAAACTGGGGCAACAGAAAACAACTAACTATGAAGTCTGAAGTAGTAAGCTCCAGTTGCACTACAGAGGTCACAACAACATGATACAATAAGAGGCATTTAATATGTGACGTTGATAATCTCGTTTCTTACATCTCATTCAATTAGTGATCAGTTAAAACCAAGTAAGAACTACAAGGTTTGTAGAATGAAATCAACTAGCTTTGTGTCACATCTTCTCATCAGTTGTAAACAACTTCAGGCTACAATGAATATTGACATTAGTAAGTTAATAACACTTTGAGTATACAACAAGTTGAAAAAATCCATGAAACACCGAAATACATGCTTCAAAAGAAAACAGGATGTAAACAATTTACAATGAGCAATAGGAATTAATACTTATTTAAATATGATAAGATGAACTGACGAAGTGACACCAAGTAGTGAAACTGGAAACACGACCTGGCAAGACAAATAAGAGACGACTCACATAACTCCATAAAGGAATTTTGATTAAGGAACGATTGGGATGAACATTACTTCAAAGAATGTATTAAATATACCAATATTAGAAAACAGAGAAAGTGGTAATGGCCAATGTGTGGAGATTCTATAGGGAAGAAGGTAGAATACTGAGAAGTATAGAGGGTAAAAACACTGAAGAGTGGGATGCGTAAAAGGAAAGTGTTAATGTGACTCCACTGTAAGGTTCAATATTTTTATGCCCACCACTTGTATTTCCAGAAAGATAACATTTACCAACTTACTGAACTTATAGAAGAATAAAATGGTTTTGAGAAATATCACTATTTCTTAAAACCTCAACCTGAAAATGTCAGAAGCTAATTTATTTTCAATAATACTGTCTTGAAAAGTACGAAATTCCATGGAATTCAAAATCTGTCTTCACTAATTCGCACTTTCAGTGGCTAATATGTAAGGTCAATGTGCCAAGGCCGATAGAAATGGGGCTTCCACGGGATCATCATCAGCTGAAACGGACAATCAACGCGTTCAGTTTCCTTCAGTTTTACTTTGTTTTTTACCTCCAGTTTCTGGGGTCCAGATCAGATTACAGCAACAAGCCACCCAGTTTGTTACTTAAGTGTTCAAGTGTTCAGTATCAAATGTTCAAAGTATTTTGCTTTAAGTCCTACCAGTAGGATGAATCCCAATTCGTAGTTAATTTTTTCTGCTTCTTTTAACTAAGCACACTTGACAGAGAGAACCTTTGCTAGTTCATGAAAATAAATGATGCACCCAAAGCTCTTAAAACCTATGGCTTCTGTTTTCACCCCTTTAAAAATATGCATAATACATGATATGAGAACGAAATGATACCAAAACAGAAACAGAAAGAGCAGTGATTCGAAATTGATCCAATCAGAAAATATTTATTGAGCTCCATGAACTCTCGTACTCCATTTGTGTAATCGCAGTGCAGTAAATGATGCATGACTATGCTTCATCTTACGACTCCTGATCATGCAATAAACAACTCTTCCCTTCTTTCATCTAGTCCCTGTGTACTGATAAAGTGAACCATATGAAAATTCATTGGAAAATATCCGTAACATATGTCCAAGCAACCAAAGCCGGCATCTCACTCCACAGATGACAACCATCATCATGTTAAAACACACGCTGCTGAAACTCAGAATTACTCACAAGGTGATTCCACCGGACACCAGTAATTTTACGGAAACATACAGTCGTAGGAAAATCACAAATCGAAGAGTTCAAATGTCACACGAGCAGAGAGAAGCTGTTCTCACCAACACGCTGTGTATACAATCAGACACAAGTCATTCTGGATTTCAATATGCGATTCGAAATCTCATCAGCCATACCACTACAACTCACTCATGCAAACACATCTTACAATATGAATTTTCTGAAAAGTTTCAACAGAGTCCCACCAACAGCAAATGTAAGTAAAGGCTTCTTTCAATTTTATATCAGCATTTTGGTGATGCAAAACAGATGCCATAATTAAGGCTACTCTCAGCCAACCGTTGAACAGCAATTTGAATAGCCTGCATGTTGCTGCATGGTAAGGCGACACCACCTGCATACACCAAGTCGTCTTTCACCTCGTAGAAAATCAACGTTAATACCATCACTACACACCTTCCACAGGTGGCTCAACAGTCTCACTCATGGCAACGTTGAAGAGTGAAGGCAAAATCAGACTAATCTGTCGCTAGTGACAAACAATGGGCAGAGAGGATTGTATACTCTCGCTCTGCTTCAGGTGCTTTCTCATAACGTTTTCAACATGTCAACAAATTAATCAGAAACACCTTCCGTCTGACAGGGGGTTTCTTTAGAGCAGTCTTATTCAACGCCAAACAATACTAAGGGTTACAATAACAGTTGTAATTTCTCGTTTCTATAAAAAAGCCGAATTGCTAGACAACTGGTACTTGTTTGCACAAAAGATGGCTATCGTGCCCCAGTGGCTTAGTGAATAACGCTTTGGTGCTTGAAGTGAAGGTTACTGGGTTCGAGTCTCAGTGGGGCCAGCATCAATCACTGGGGTGCAGGTAAATCCAGCTTCTGAGTCCCAAATATGACGAAAAGCTTGTCCTGGATTCCTCTGCTAGTCACCAAGATCAATGTAATAGAAAAGGTTACTCGTCTTCAATACGCACAATGGTGTTTAGGAAGCTGGTGAATGGTAAACTTGTGATGAGTGAACTCACGACCTGAACGGTAACCGCTCAGCTTTTTGTGAATCAATTTTCCACACAAGGAATGTGATGTATGACAGGATACAATATTTCGGACGGTACCGAACCAGACTCATACTCCAGCAGTCTTAACATGTTTGGCAGGTCCCTTTTGGAAATGGAAAAAACAATGACCTCGCTTCATACAGATGGAGAGATAGACGAAATCAACGCAGAACCCCGCAAACAATTGCAACACCTCAAGTTGCCACACTTCACAGTAGTATACAAAAAACAGGTCGATAGAAAAAGAGTAATGTCAAAGTAGACAAAGTTGTATGAGAGAATAAACGACTAGGAGATGAAGGTCTGTGCGAATATTCAAGCTTCAAAAGATGTAAACAGTGAATATATCTGCGCCACTGAGATCGATTTTTAGCCTTATCACCAAGAATCCTCAACCACTGATTCCTGTCGTTTCGGGAACCCCAACTAAGAAGTCTACTTCTTCCTACACGGCTCAGACCAACAGTCAGGGACTTCATCAACCGGTGCCACATCTTGATCTGATCACCCTGAATTATCCCCCAACTCAATTCAACTTCACCTAACATGGGATGTTGAGGTACAGGGTGGCTGAGCATGCGCAGTAAATGTTAAACCAACTTCAGTCGACTAAGATTCACAAATTTATCAATCGACTTGCCTCATTACGGAACGATGAAATTCTCTTAATCTGCCATATTCTCACCAACAATCTCTGCATTTCTCTGATTATAGTGGGCAGAATACATGATATTTGGGCGAGACCATCGTTATTGTAGCTGCAAAAAACCCGGTTAGTCCTCTTAACTTGGTGTAGAACTGTAATTCATAGGCTTTAGAATTTAACTCATAGTACGCAAGTCATATGCTTGAACTGGATTTCACCTGTCAGTGTTTCGGCAACCGAATAGAAAGATATCACACAAAATATGTGGATAGTCATTGAGTGCATACGCTTGCATATTCTTCAAGATTAGCATACACGACTAAACTTCAAGCTAGAAGTATTCAATAAAAACTATGAGATACTCCTTAAATAATAAGATTTTAGTCAGGTTCGCACATACTAAATGCAGAACAAATGACGTTATTATTAACATTAGATGTCAAGAAACTAAAGCTAAGACCTGTCAATACAGTTCTTTAAATAAGGTCGTAGTTGTACGTCAATTCATGAAACGGACGAGTACTTTAATAGTTGTCTAATAAATCTATTTCTGACATGCTGACCTGACACTTATATGAAAAGCAGTGTTATGAGAAACAGGAAGTCACTAAGAATTGTACTACTACTCAATAACAGAATGAATTCTGCGCACGAAATCACGCAATATAAAACTTCCTTTGATATTTTTTAACATTCCTACGTACATAACACCACATAACCCCACCATATAATGGTAAACTAAGTGACGCCAGTAGTGATATTGTTAAATCTATTTACAATTTCTCTCATTAGTATGATTAGGGCAACTGATATATACAAAAACTACTAAAGAAAAACACATACTCATAACCAACTAACCTTTTCTGAAGTTGCTTCAAGGTTTGTTCAGCAGAATTTAATTTTTCTTGTTTTTCCCCAATTAAATTTCTTTCAGAACTTGGTGTATGATAGAACCAATGCGAGAAGCTCACAATTGAAATACATAGTAATCCTAATGACAGTGTGACAAAGGATGCATTTCCCGGTACAAGTAATGACTCTATATTGTCAAATGAAAGACAAAAAGAAGACTTTCGAGATAGTGGTACACATAGGCAGGAAAAAAGCCAAAGTTGTTGACAGTATTACAAGAAGGGCATTGAGCATTACTAATGGGATCAACTGACAACGTTCAAAAATAAAATTTTCATTTTATTAACATTTGTAAGTTTACAACAGTTCAAACTCAATTTATTTACTGCACTTATTACGCAAAAAAATGAGACCAAAACCTTTAAGTGGATTGTAAATCTACACGATACTTTCTCAAGGTTAAGATCTACAATGAATACCATCAGATGAGAAGTACATCAAGACCTCATAAGAAAAATTCAAGGTTCAAATTTCCTTCGGTCAGTAGTTATTTTAAAAATCTTAACTGATAAACAGTGATCACTAGTGAGAGTCGACGAGTAGTAATGCTTATACTCAGATCAGGAATTCTATATCAAACGCAATGTGATGCTTTTCTCAGTTTAAACTCTTGCTATATATACAACATTACATATCAAAGTCTTCACTATCAATAAGTTGAAACTTTTTCCAGGTCAAAACTAAGGTAACAACTTAAGGTCATAGGGTCGAAATATAAATTGTCACCACCCTGGTCAAAAAAGTTCTATATGATGTCACATTCACAGTAACACGGGAAGAAATGAATGGAAACAGAATGATATTAAAGCAGAAGAAAATGATGTGAAGCGAGAGAGAATGGATAGATGAAAGTGCATAAAGCCTTCAAATTTTTGGAAGATGATAGGAAATGAATACATCTGCACTGCTGTGATCGATTTTTCATCATGTCACCGATGACCTCTGATCACTTACCTTTAATACATTGAGGACCCCAATCAAATAACCAACGACATATGACGCATATCAAAAGTGAATGACTTCACAGATTGGTGCTTCATCTTAGTCTTGTCACTTTTTGCTTCTCAACATAATCCTCCTCTCATAGACCTTCGTCAACTTTCATTTCATTTTCCTTTCATTTAACTCTTGCATGTTGCTATAAATTGTAGCAACTTAAACTGATTTACTTTTGTGCCACGTTTTACGTTGATCTATCTGTATGACTGGCATGTCTAGCCTATAACTCAGTCGACTCAATTAGTAAAGGTTGATAATCTCATCAACTGGCTTGCACTACTCAGCTAACAGTACATGTTCAACGTAGACATTAGTCACTTTATGATTTCATCAAACCACAGATTCAACTTTAGTGACGTGCAATGATGTCAAGATAACAATAAATTATCATAAATGATAACAAAAAAGGTGGATGAGGTAAACGAAACACAACTCACGTCTTGGTGGTCCAAACAGAATAATATCCAGCGCACGAAGCATCAATTTCCTTTTATGAATCGGATTTTGAATACATAATACATCCGCTATATAGCTCATATTTGCATAGCCAAGCTAAAGGAATTTGTTGAAACAAAAAATAAGGTTTGAATGATATTCAACGAATTCTAACTCCGCTTTAAGAAACAGCCATATAACATGGTTACCATGTAAAACATATAAAGTTTACATCCAGTAAAACGAAACAGCTTTCGGTTGACCGCAGATTGAAGCGTTTATAAAACATCTATCCTCATTTATATCTAAGGCCAAGATGAAAAATACTTCGGTGTTTCAAAATATCATCATCATTATGACAGTGGTTTACCAGAGAAATACCAGAAGTGAAAACCGAAAATAACTGTGCTATTAAAAATCTTAGTGACCCATTCAGTACGATAGAATATTTAAAAATAATCATACACAGATGACTCAATCTTGTGCAACAGTCAAACTGTCCGAGTATTTAATATGGTGGGATCCGAAAGGTAGGCGCTAAAATACACAATCCTTACCTAAGGACTACAGGACTTGATGGTCACAACTCACAGTTAAGATAGAAACGACAGACTCTTGAAAATGTGATAGTCTAATATCAGTGAAACATTTAGCAGGATAGATAGTTATTCAACCAACAGTTATGAAAGACGAGTAGTACTATGAGGAGACCTCTGATAATAAAAGTCCTTCTGACCTAAGGAACTAACAAATTAAATTAGAAACTTTGGGTATTCAAATATTAGAAGACAAAAGACAAGATTTTGATCACGACAATGACTGAGTCATTTAGCAGAGAGCGAGTGAGGACGTTTAATCCCTCATAAAAGCCCCAGTCGTACTAAAGTAGTTGCGTGAAAACCAAAAGCATCGACCAGTTACAAATCGTTTCCACAAGGATGGTTGTTATAACATGATACAAATTATGTGAGATAAGAAAAAATGATGCACTCGAAGTAGACTGGGTATTTTCGGAGTTACAGATAAAAAGGAATGCGTCTTCGTTATCTACCAAATTCCTAAACATTATCACGTATTGCAAACTAAAAGAAGAGATTTTAGATACTTGAGTTCTCTTGGATTAGATAAGCGAAATTTTTCTACGAAATAGTTCCTAAAGAAATGGTGTCCCTACAGCTTTATCGAAATCTTGAAAGCCCAGCATAGAAACATCTTATGTGGAGTGAAGACGTACACCTAGTTTTAAAAATAGTTGCCTGATCTTATCTCTTTTCTGTCAAAATAACTAAGATGTTACATTTCTGAAAATGATGAACTTCATAACGGACTAGTTAGGCCGGTCAAATGTGGTTGTTTATATCAATGAATCTGTAGTGACAAAGATGAAATCTGATAAAAAGTATGTACGAGCCAATCAAACTAGCTTCTCGACGATATACATTTTCAACATAGAAGATTTCATGCATACATTTCAAATGGAAGCATTACTACTTTTTAACCAAGTAGGTAAGATGTGCGTTCAACTAATGTTTACTCAGGTATGCTAACGGTCATCAATCATTGTCCAAAAGACTTCATCTGTAAACTATTCGGGCTTCCAAACATATATCAGTAAACTAGGTGTACTGTAGTGTCCTGCGTACAATAAAAAACGGGTAAGAAAAACTAAGTAGCTGAAAGAAATAAAAACGGGCACAGTAGGTTAGACCTTACTCGTTCACCTAAATTTTTCCATCAGAAGCCTTAGAATTTCGTAGAGTAATGGCTGCCCAAAATTTTCAGTATGGAGACTACCATATAACATTAATGCTTCTCGACTAGTCCAAATAATAAACGAGCAAGATTTTCGTAGATCACGATTATTAGGAGGATTATGTACCACATAAGACACGTACAGGATCATGTTACCGATATCGCCTACGTTGTTCTGAACATTCCTGGACATTACGAAGTTATGTTTGATTCATAAGTTAGCAAGAACTTCAGATGTTTGCAAGTGCAGCATGAATAGACAAAATTGTGTTCAAAACAGAGTTTATTTTGTTGGTGCTATTTAGGCACGAAACGTTTTGAGTTACACTCGTCTATAATAATATAAAGTAGTGACTTAGCGCACGCCTAATTTCCATAGTTTATTGGATGCACAGTCATAAATTCTAAGCCGTTCACCGCAAAATAGGACGCATTATTTGCGTGATTTATTAGGCATAATAAGAGGTAGCAACAAAACTACTAAAATACTTCACAGTTATGAAAAGAATACTGAAAATTTACCGCGGTAATGAACGTCCGTCTACATTATGCTGACGAAATACATCAGCATACTGCGGTAGATCCACCGGACCAGTTAACCAATGAATGGTATCTTTTACAGTCCAATTGAATGCTATAGTGATAAAAAAGCAAAAAATGTAATCCATATCCTTTAGGGATTTTATTCGTTAACTAAAGGAGTAAAAATGTAAACGTTTAGCATACTTCGTTAACGATAGGAAAATATCAGGAATTTTGGTTACGCAACGATAAATCTTCATTCATACACAATAATGTTTAGGAATTCGATGACATCACTATCCTCAGTATTTTGAAGGTGTTATTTTCTAATGTTCACATCCAAATTAAAAATTTGACTGGTAACTTATTCATTAAACAGTCTGTATCAAAAATGTGCGTGCTACAACAAAACCCAGAGCACAAAAATGACATCACTTTTATAATACATTTATGAAGTTATGTATACAGGGGAATGCATAGACAGAGGTAGTCAAAGTATACACAGTTGAAGGTAGTGAAATACACGCCCCCAAGACATTAGAAACACCTATGCTCAAAAACTTCAACGAAAAGCAAAATCGATAGGTGGTCATTAACATTCACAGTAAAATATATCATATGAACAGAAAATAAGGCCAACTTTAAAACGACTCTTAAGTCATTTTATAGAAGCGGGTGGATATCAACACCATAAGTTTTCATAAAATTTAGCCACACAGAAATCCGCAAATTCGTTTGAGCTTATAATAAGTGACTTTTAAGTTGAAAACTCCACAGTAGCCGCTAATTAATAAAATACCAGGGATCGTTTGAGAACATGGTTCTTTCTTTTTACTTTAAAATTCCTGGTCATCTTAATTGATCAGCTTAAAATTATTTCGTTTTTATTCACATAAAATGCCGCTACAATTAGATGCGATCTGCTTCTTCGAAATGCAGTCTCCTAACACAACATATTGCCCCATTAAACTTCGTCTTATAACTGTGCAGCTCAAAATCAAGCAAAAAAACCTAAGCTATGGTATCGACAACTTGCCAAATCATCTTCGGGTACAAGTGGTTGTAAATTTCAAAAATATCTACAAAGACCACAAATAAGCAGATGAAACATTTGCAGATGGAGCAAATAGCAGCAGCGGACGCATAAAGCTACCTTGTGCACTCGGCAATGACCCGCATTTATTATGCGAGGGCTAGTGATACTACCTGGCTTCCTAAGCCTCGGCAAGTGGAGCGGGGCTCGAACCCATGACCAAATAACGGAGTCATCTCTCTAAACCACTGAGCCACAGCTCCTGGAGCAAATAGAATCCTGTTTGCAATCTTTCAATGAAAAGTGAGAAAGAGCAGTGGTTCCCAGTTTACCACTTCTTTAGATCTCCACTCAGCTTGGCTGTTGAGGATCGTTACGAATCGAAAGCAATCAGCCAATGATTTTGGTATCATGAGAAGTCATCAATAAGATCAAATAAGATGACTGTAGAATAGCAGTGAGTCAATGTAAAGTCTATTTTAGGGTGGTTTTGTAACAGTTTGGCAAGGTAATGCACAGGCCATGTTCTGTGAATTGTACTTTCCTGCCATCCTGACAACAGTATTTATAATTTAATTTTCACAAGGAAATAATGACTATGAACTTCACAGCAAGACTTATGACAACTTATTGTTATTCACTGTATTACGTCGAAATGGTGGGCAATCTCCGTTGTTTATTCGCTGGAGAGTAAAGTCCCTGCAAAATATCAATAGTTCTTCACACACAAAATGCGCGGTGTGATGTTAATGACATTTCATAGATCTTTTTAATCAGAAATAAAGCATATTTGTCACATTATGAATAATCTAACAACTCTTTCGCATAGCCCATTCAGTCGAGACACTTACTAAGTAAGCTTTAGGAAAGAAACTAATTATTCGAGACAATAAGTTAAACCTGATGCGTTTCATTTCGACACATGTAATTACACATGAACCTTCTCAAAATTTTTGACGACCTGAGTTATGAACTCCAAGTACACAGGTTCGAATGAAAAACTTTACTGATGAAACATCACCTAACCATCTAACCATCACAGAAAGTAATTAGCTTAGCGTGGTGTTGTTCATAAACCACCTGCGCCGAAATGTTAGTGGAGCGGTCGTTTGCGTGAGTCCACAATATGACAGCCCTATCACCTTGACGATAGTGTAAGGTTATGCCTCAAGCTTGCGCTAAACTGACAAGTAGCTTAAGAATAGGGTAGGTCCAGTGGTCAAATGAGTCTACCCCTTCACCGATTCCAAAAATTAAATTACACCATATCAGCAGGTTCCTGATGAGATCTTGCATGTATACAAAAGGTTGGTGCGGTTTTCGTAAAACTACGGACGAAATATCAGATTCCTTACCAAACGGTGAATATAATGCTCAGTGATCAGTGTTTTTCCACAGTGAAAGATGGTTCCTTATAGTATGAAACATGAAGCAGTTACACATTTTCAATGCGTGTATTCGTAGCATTGTTTGTATCTGATGGAACAGACAAATCAACAATAATAAGGTTATTAATATACTGCTAGTTAAGGAATGCAAATCAGTGAATTTGTTTAAGAGCCTACACCATTTGCGTTAGTCGGTAAATCTGCTACGCATGTCTGCGAACTGGCTACCACAACACGTCAAATTAACTGAAGGCAGATTAGTTCGAAAAGCGAGGAGTGGTCAACCCACCGATGGTTGGTGAACCGTGTCAAGTGGCGTAGACCGCCTGACTTACGTTGACAGTATATTGGGAATTGATGATTGTAAACCATCAATGATATGACCTGAAATGGATCCCAACGACAAGAATATATTCACCGCTCATCATGGAATTTCTACACACTGCTAACCTTTATTCGTTTGCTATTTTCTTGAAAGCTCTTATACATTTTTATACCGTATCAATACTTCTGTTTGTTTTTACTGTTGTGAAAAACGTCAAGTGCATTCTCGTATGCCTGTCTGACAGCGTATATATAATATAGCCAAGAATGTCTCCTATTCACTAACTTCATTTTGTCAACCTATGGTATCTAAAATTTAGCGGTTATTATCTATACACAATCGTCACAATAATCAATACGTAATGAAGTTTTAACAACAGTCTGGTGACCCCCAATTACCTATTTGCTCCTGGACAAATTAATCTTATATTCCTTTAGATGGTACTTTGAAATAGTCTTATGGATATTATTATTTGTTCTTAATTCTTTCTTGCAAATTAGAGGTCGAAAACTTATCATTACTGAGAAGAAGGAAATAACAGCTAGTTTCGTTAGTAGTCACTTATCTAGGTCGTATCTTAGAAAAATGCAAGTGAAAATATGTTTAAAAACAGGATAAGAGAATGAAAGTATTTAAAGTTACCTGGGTTATTTCTCCACATCTGCCACAAATCCATTAAACTGATTAAAGGATCATCACTATTTAACATGCGTGACTTCTTAGCTGCATCTGCAGAATTGAATTCTTTCCGCAAAAACTAAAATATGTAAAAAGTTGTTTTGTCTTTGTCACAAAACAAAAGATGGATGAAATAAAAATGGTGAACCAGATTGCCTGAAGACATTTTATACAAAACTCAAGCCCTTTTTAGCATAGTTTCACTGCTGTCGTTACGGATAGTCATAATTACATAAATCACTGAGTATGACAAATATTCGGCATACTGAACGTTATCAGGCACCTACGTGTTGTTCTCTAAAGAACTAAGAGCTGACGAAATAAGTTTGGTATTCAAGTCAGCAGCGCAGAATCTCGCGGTAATGTGAAGCTATATCAATGGCCTTTATCATACATTTATGAGTTACCAAAGCAAATACTACAGGTTCACAGAAAAGGTACTGGTCACTGTCATTTGCACCAATCACAGCAAACGCTCTGTTCAAACTGTCACTTTTTCTACAACTGACATGTAGTTGTTTTCGCGTGGATATCATTTGGTCTCATTAATTTCACTACCATCGTAAACCTGATGGAAAATCTTAAGGACTCTAAGAGTGTGTAACATAGAGCAATGAGAATAAGTTATTTTGCATATGGTTTGGATTTGAACGATCCCATATCATTACATACAACAAATGACTATTTGATCGGAACGGATATTGAAACTTATGAATGAATCATCGCGTGGAGAATCGCGATGCACATAGCGAAGAACATGTTGCGGTACATACATAACAAACACAGATATCTAGTGTGACCTCTTTAAAGTTGTTTGCTAGCAAATTACGGGATTCAGCATTGTAGCTGTTAAGCCATGTACATCAAATATACAGATCAATGAAGCATGGACAATATCTGCAAATAAATGAAAATATCTTGTGAAGCAATAAATTACCTGTCAGCGATTTCCACTATAGAGCATTTTATTAATTCGCTATTCTTGGAAGATAGTACCAGACTTCCGCCCTATGGTGATTTCGAACACTACAATCTAAATCTTATTGATCCTCTGAAATTACCACCAGTACTTATCATCATCATACCTGAAAGCTCATTATGTTATTTTGGTAATCTGGCGACTTAGAGATTATACTTAGATGACTGATACAATAATACCATGCAACCAACCAAATGGGAGATAAGTAGTACAGTAACAACATAGAACCAAGCAGGATACGCACGGCGTCGATATACCTCAGGTACTGTTAATCCTTCATTCAAAGCCCATTCTTAAAGTAACTTGTCATAAGCGACAGCATTGTGCAGAAGTTCTGGCAGCGAACGGCATACAAATGCGGTAGAACTATCGAATCATACCATCTTTGATAGACTATACGAGGACCTTGAAGTGAAGGTAAGTGTGCATTCTGAGAGGCTTTGAATTATAAATATGTCGCTGATGATAGCTAGGCCTATGCATAATACCGATGATGATAGTATAAAATAAATCGGAAGTAGTTATTTCTCATATTATCGTCTCCTACTATATGCCAAATCTCAGAGGTTCTCCATGCTTCGGCATTCCCCTTGAATGACAAATCTACAGAGATCACGCTAGAGTAGGTTTTGTGATCAGATTGCACACCCTAAAATCTAATCGAAAACCTTAACTCCCCAAACTGTCATTCAATTCTAAGTAAGTTTGCAGCACCCATTATGACAACTTTTAAGTTTTTATCTTTCGAACTGGACCAATATTTAATGTCATGGATCTAGTATCCAATCAGATTCCTAAACTCCAATTCGTAAATCCTTCCACAGGGTTTCATACAAATAATTTAGGGGTAATAAGGGACCACTTAAAGGTTTCGCTGCATCCACACCAGTTCCGGTTTGCATGGATGAGTATCTTTAGTGTACTTACCTTTACTGCAAGCATAAAGCAGACGAAATCAGGTAAATTCCTAAACATTGTTAACAAAATCATACCAACTGTGTTTTCCTTTCATTTCTGCAATGAAAGGAACGACCACATTTTCACTGGTGTGTTTAAGGTGTTAGAAAGATTGTATAAAAACGGCAAGGTCATAGCTTTACTACATACCTCTAGCTCTTACTCCAAGAAACAATGGTGCACTTTCGATCAAATCTCTTACAAAAAACAAGAAGTTAGGAGGAAAATCGACGTCTATAAGTTGTTGGTTAACGACTGACAATTAGCATCTGAAAGTTGAACATAAAGTATCAGGACTAAACTGATCTTTCCCGCCTTGACGCTACTAATAACTACTCCCCGTGGTCTGATCAAGGTTGATGAGCCACATTACATCATCACCCATTTAATAACTTCACAATAAGTCAAAATTATCAGTAACGGTTCGCAGTACTATCACAAGGTTTCAAGAAAACCAAGTTGCAACTGAACTTACTTTTTCCGTCTCAGAATAATCCACCTCACCATTTCTGTCTCCATCAAGATTACGGTGAATGTCTCCAATCGCCTCAAAAGACAAAATTTTTGTAAAACATGTTAACAGCTCATCAGTTGGCCCACATATCTCGCTACAGTCATATAACAAAAACACTGAACCACGCATAAGGACTAAGATTAGGCTGCACAACTTACAACTCCAAGCGCACAAGAGTCTTGTCAGAAGCCAAAAACCCATAGTCAACACGAACTAGATTTATTGCAAAATCTAACTTCAGAAAGATGTTACCGCAGGCAGCAGGTAACTCCCCTGCAGAATGTATCCAGCGAGTTTTACGTAAGACTAGTGTTACGTAAATCACCAAAAACAGCTATCTTGGTAAAAATAAAAATCACTTGAATTGATGACTAGGAAGATGGCATAATATACTGGGAAACAGTTAACAATGTACAAACATAAGTGTGAGAAACTCGAAAAACCCAGACCGTTCGGAAACCGCGGGCAACTTTAATGCCCTAGGATTGGATCACCTAACCACCTGCAGTGTGATAAAACGTACTGATCACCATTTTGTGTAATACTTGTAAAATTTAATAGCAATCATCAGGCATTTCACGTTACAGTAATAGTCCACTGAAATGCATTCTACATTAAAGACATAGGTATTTTAAACAAGTATCAGTGAAGCAAAGATGTTTTCTTTTTATTGCCTCGGATGTGACTGAACATAATTTAAAGTCTGTATATCTGATTTGAATGCCATTGTGGCAGCCTGCGGCCGGTTGAGTATTCAGGCGTGCTTTTGAAAAGGGGAGTGACTCCCCACGTTTAGTTAGATTCTTAGCGTTTTTGTGTTTACACATCAAACGCTGTTGCCTTTTTGCTCCATTCGAAATACTACTCGATTAAAGTGAGACAGGAACCTTTCTAGATGAATTTATTCAGTGCCTACAACACGATGGATCAAAAGTGTCGTAAAATCACTTGTGGTATTGTAGGGCACCACTTCGCACTGCCCTGTGTTATGCAGCGTGCCGAATGTAAGCTTTGGTTCCACAACAACTGCACAAACTTAATACCCTCAACATATAAGAGGAATAGCAACGCAAGAAACGTCTGGCCTCGTATATTGTGCTGCTCGGATACTCGCGCGCTGACAAAAGAGACGAAAACACTTTTAAATATTATGACGAAGAAACTGGCGTCCAAAAGGGAAGTGGAGAATCGTGATAGTGATAACGACACAACATCCATTGACACACAGGTCACTGGGTATAATTTTGAGTATGTCTTACGACGAGCCGAGAGTGGGGGCGTAGACTACTAAATGAACATGCTGACAGTAAATTAGAAAAAACTACACAAAACAGAGTGAAGTGAGTATCTTCAGGTTCTCGCAATCCCTGATCTGGTTGGCCCAGTCTGCGAACTACCGATCGTAAGACCAGTTTAACTTTGGACAAAATGGACAAAAGTGAAGCTCTCGTGCCACCGACCACGGAACCATGCGGGGTCTAGGTCATACTTAGTTCGACTATTCAATCAGTTGCGAAAATTGCGCAAAATTGGATGCGAGTCCGTTCTGAGGCCACCAGTGCCAAGGTCAATGGAATAGGCTTCAGTAAGCCATGCCCATCTGACTCTGAGAAGAGGCGGGTAATCAGATCTAAACAGCATGGTAAGAAGCCGGTAACAGTCATCGAACCAATCGCCATCACTTCGCGGAGCAAAGATAAAGTGGAGCTCCCCGACAGGTCTCTAGCGGCCCAAAACCATGCAAAAGTTACGAACATGGCCTCGGCAAAGTAAAATGTTTGATGAACCATAGCCGAAAACAGCAGAAGTCACCCTATTCAAGACATAAAGAGTAGGCAGGACAGAGACACTCCCTGGTGAAAACAGGTTTCGGCTACCTTAATTCGTTTTCAAATCAGTAAAGAGTGGGAGCAGATTCTGGGGAGCTCTCATAGACTTTGAGGATCTAGAGTGCTCGTGCACAAGGATTTGGTTGTTGCGGATCGAATCAAAAATGAGAGGCAGAAGAAGAAATAAATCCAGATTAGTAGCAGAGGAGCAATATCTAAGGGTATTATATTTTCGTGCAGCGAGGTTTCGTGCCGAAGCCCCTAAGGATGAAACAGAAACTCAAGTAGTTTTGTCTTCCCGTACACAAAAGTATCCAGTCTCCTGGACGAGTGAACTGAGCTTAGTAATGTAATAAGTGCAAAGAGTCCTGATATTGTTGTTACCTTAGAAACTTGCCTCTCCTCTGGGATCACTGACCATGAAAGACACTTACGGGGACGTCTTCCTTTCAGAAGCCGTAGGATAGCATGCAAATGGTAGTGCCATTCTTTACACTATGAAAACCTCAGCCGCAAGGACCATGGAGACGGCTGTGTATGAAAATGGAACGTGCGAAATGCTGCGCTGCCAACCAAAGTGCAAGGTACAATATGTTAACCTAGTAGTAGTATACCGAAGCCATGAAGTTGAGGCAGCGGACTTCATTCTGGGCAAGCTGAAGCTCTGGGCAGATAACTACAGTTGCCCAATTGTAAGAGAATTCAACTGACTGGGAGAGACTTACAATAGAAGCATCATTTAACTCGTTTGACCACAGGCTGGTAGAAACACCAATTTCTTTGGCCCCTATACAGATTGTGGCAACCAGATGCGATCATCAGCATGCTCCACCAGTCCTAGACTTAGTGGTCATACACACAGGCGATGTATGCCTCTTCCGTCACCTCGCGCCTCCTGAGATTATCCTCAGGTTCACAGCAGACGCCTTGTACCAGGCCGGTTCCTCAGCTAGCCCCGGTGTATAGGAGGCGATTGCTGGGGCTAATAACTTCTCAGCCTCTTCGAAGGATTGAACAGTCAATCAATAACTATAAATTTTTTATTCTCACGTTAAAAACGTTTAACATGAGACAAGCCAGTTTACAGGCCTCATCACGCTGATACATCTCAATTATCTACGAGTCCTGAGTGGTACTGACGGAACGTCATTAAACTGAATTAAAAACTGCCAAAATTCCTGTTACTTATGGAAAGAACAAGGAAATATTGTTTTACAGCCTACAGAGAGTGTTAAAGTTTAGATGATAATAAATATTGTCTTCATTTAACGGGTTTAACATGAAGGATACCAGCTAAAAAGCACCGTCAAATTCATAATTTTTCAGAGTTTACGAGCTGGTATCTAGTATTAGGTAATTTATATACCAAGTCATTAGCGTGCATAATCTAATTAAAATTTGCTGAAATTCATGAGACGGATATGGATTTCCATCTCCAATCTCACAGACAGGTTCCACTATCAATATCAAAAGCACGCAGTGTTCAAAGTTTGCGTTATAACCAACTGAAGTAGTTAGTTCATTCGCACAGTTTGCTAATTAGTAATTTAACAGTTTATTACTTAGAATGATCTTCAGTTTTTAGCTTTGCTAACCACAAAGGATCCATTTATACAATCTGGAGTATCAATAAAGTATCCACAGCTAAATAATCAACGTGTATGGTAATGTCAGTGCGTTTCCAGGTCACCATGTTACGTTTAAAGGTAACAGAGCGATTCCGCTGAGAATACTTGTTGTATTGGATGAAAATAGACGTTGAAACATTCACAGACCAAATGGCAATACTCATACATAGACTTCGGGTGCCTTTTATATATTAGCGTAGGTGGCATCATTCGAGAAGTGTATTAATGTATGGTACGTTTCATATGAAAAGATCTCTTGGTACAGAGTACTGGAAAATTTTTTAGTGTGGAGCCACTGCATGTAAGTGAAGTTCTAGGACAATATGTTAATTAGTCTGAGGTTTACTCATCTGTTCAGAATGTCTTTGCTACTGGTACTGTTGGAAATGATCAGACGGTTCGTCGCAAGAAGAATCATGACCAGTAGGTGAGTTAATCGTGAAGATGGTCCAGAATTTGCGAAAGAGTGGGAGCAGCCCAATAATTATCGGCGTCAATGATCAGGTATTATTCCCAAAAAGTAATCACGTTCAGACCGAATTTGAACATCAGTTGTCGACCCGCAGCTGTTTCTGCAAATGGGGAAGGAAAGAAGAAGTGCGAGCAGATATGGAAAAGGAAATTACCATGCTTTCAAATTTGGAGAGCGAAGTCCCCATTCTTTTTTTAACCATTCGGACCATATGTGCATTTTCATGTATATATGTGAAGTCAACTATACAGTTCTCCCGTTATAAAGTGCTTAATTTTTGGAGTTGTACCGTGGTGGCTTTGAATGGAAAACAATGAGTTCATTACGCAGAGGGGAGCCAGTATTCACACCCTTGTGTGTAATCGTAAAGCCATCTGCATTAAAAGAACTCGAGGACTTTAATGAAACTGATTCCTACATTTCGATGTCTGAGTAGGTTCACAGTGGAAGCAATGGCTTAACCATTGTTATGTGGCGATTTTTTACATTATGCTCCTTATTTGTGGATACAATATGAATGTCAAGAAATCTATAGATACCTGTGGAAAGAAAGAATTCGTCGTGTAGTCGTCGAAACTGAAATGCAGACATGCAAAGAGCGAATAAAATGCGAAAGCTTATTCCATAACTCGCTGTACTGCAACAAAAAGGATCGTGACCTAGATTTATGGCGGTGCTTTTCTACGGGTACAGAGCATTCACGATTGCGTAGACTATATGAGGACATAGGCTTAAATGTAGGAGCGCAGCAGGCGTGAGTAATGCCACGCAAAAGGCGGAAAAATAAACTGAGGTTAGGCTTAAGGCGTCTTGGCCAAAGCGGGCCAATTTTCAGTCTCTTACACCTTCCCTTAATCAAGTTCTTCGTGACGGCCCAGCACACAGCGGGTAAACTTTCTTTGAACATTTTCAATTAGAACCCTATCCGAGACATACATATTGCTGAAGATGATTGTGCCATATTCAAGTACTGGACAGATCATTGCTCTGAATAAAAGCAGTCTAGCCCCAGTGGTATGTACGTGTTCAAGCAAAAGGCCAACTGAGCGCCCACGCTTGGAGGCAGGTGACCGGGCATATTCCGTAAATGTCAAGTCCCGAGGCCACATGGTGCTCCCTCAAACAGTTATATGCACGAGGGAGTCGGAGGTTCATCCCATGGACCGTTCCAAAAGGGAGGAAACATTGTCCCTCGTAGACAAACTGCGAAATGCGAATCCTGCTACAAAGCGCAAAAAAGTAATGGAGTCTTGCCAACCACCCCGGCACCCC